CAGAATCTGGAGAAATCTCTGCAAGGGACAAGTCAAAATTAGATGGCTGTGATCTTCGGGCCCTCAGGCAGCACTGCATTAAAAACAGACAGGATTTTGTAGTGGAAATCACTGCATGGGCTCAGGGACACTTCAGAAAACCACTGTCTGTGAACACAGTTTGGTGCTGCATCTACGAATGCAAGTTAAAACTCTACCATGCAAAGAAGAAACCAAATATAAACAGAAGCTTATATATATATTATTTAGGGACAACTGGGGTGAAGTGGAAAAGTTTTCTGTGTTCTGATGAATCAAAATACTTTTTTGGAAATCATGGACGCCGCGTTCTCTCGCTAAAGAGGAGAGGGACGATCCGGCTTGTTATTAGCACGCAGTTCAAAAAACCATCATCCGTGATGATGACATGACATGGGTGACATGCACATGTGTAAAGGCACCAGTAATGCTAAATGATCCACACAGATTTTGGAGCAACATATGCTGCCATCTAGATGAAGTCTTTTTCAGGGGAGGCCTTACTTTTTTCAGCAAGACAATGTCAAATGTCAAACCACATTCTACACATATTACAACAGCTTGGCTCCATAGTTAAAGAGTCCAGGTGCTAAACTGGCCTGCCTGCAGTCCAAACGGTCACTAATTGAAACATTTACCACATTATGAAATTAAAAATACAACAAAGGAGACTGTTGAGCAGCTGAAATCCAGTATCAAGCAAGAATAGGAAAACATTTAACTTTCAAAACTACAGCAATTGGTCTCCTTAGTTTTCAGATGCTTAGAGTGTTGTTAAAAGAAGAGCTGATGCAACACAGTGGTAAACATGACTCTGCCCCAACTTTTTTGAAACATGTTGCTGGCATCAAATTCAAAATGGGCATATATTAAAAAAAAAAATCTTAATTTTAAAAGTTGATATTTTGTCTTTGTACTATTTTTAATTAAATAGAGTTTAAATGATTTGCACATCATTTTATCCTGTTTTTTTCTTTACGTTTTGGACAGCCTCCCAACTTTTTTGGAAACAGGGTTGTAATAAATAATGTCTCTATTCGAAGCTGTAGGTAACCTGTCTTTTAAGCATTTTTAGCTTGATGAAAGCAATTTTTATTAAAAACTAAACAAGGACAAACCAGAAGTATTTGTAATTGGTGGTGAAACAGAGAAAAAAGCTATGTAACAGACTTAAAGATCTGGCTCTGCAGACAAAAACTGATTTAAAAATCGAGGTGTAACTCTGGACTAGATATAACTTTTAAACGTAATATAAATTACATTAATCAAATAGCATTCTATCATCTAAGGAATAAAGCACGCATGAGACCCTACTTCCAGTTTGAAGATGCCAAAAAAAATTACCCATGCTTTTGACTGTCATAATGCATTGCTCACAGAAGTTGTACAACTGCTATAAAAACAAACTACACTTGTGCAACACCAAGAATACTAACAACTAGATCATATGAGACCAGTTTAACATCACTCCACTGGCTGCCTGTTTCTTTTATAACTGACTATAAAATTTTACTACTAGTTTTTAAATCTCTTTATAGCGCAGCACCTTCATACATCTCTAAACGCTTGATAAACTATGTTCTAAAGTATTTTTCAAAAACGAGTGGTAAAGCTGCTTGTTTTTATGCACCAAAGATCTGGAACACATTACCAGTAAACGTTCCTCAGGCTCCTTCTATCACCAATTAAATTAACAAACAGCTAAAAATATTACTTCACCTTAGCATTTAACTAGCTTTTAACATTTTCATTACTTTTATTGTCATGTCACTATTAAGTTACTTTTTCTACGCTAGTTTTCAATTGCTTTTATTCTTATTTCCTCTATTTTGTCAATGCTTTTATTTGAGACACTTTTAATATTTACCTTTTTTATTTTATTGTAACTACATTGTACTCCTTTTCTTTCTCTGCTTTTGCAATACATTACAAATCACTTTGAGCTGCTTTTCTAATTGTATGAAAGATACTGTTTAAAGTTGGCCAGTGGCCAACAAGACCCAGTGCGCTGCAGAATAAAAAACAAGCTGCAAATGCAGAAAACACTTTAATTTAACACTTAATATTTTATCAAAATTCCAACATATGCGCTTTTTTACAAATGCTCTGCAAAATAATAAAATGTGCAGCAAGTTCATAGACAATCTGAAATTTAGAAAACACAACACTACATTTCACAAATTCACTGCAAGTACAGAAAAACATGCAATTTCAGGGATGCTGAAAAGCCAGCTAAAAACCAGCAGAAATATTTCCAGAAGACACTCAAAGAGGAACTTCTAACTAATATCACAGTATCGTAATGGGAATAAGCTGTAGAGTGTAACTGTAAAATTTTGATAACTAACGCAGTGCAGCTATGACATGTCAGATAACGCACCAGAATGTGAGTCTCCCCATTTTTAAAAACGTTTCCACCACAGATATTTTACCCCTTTGAGAGTCTTCCAGAAACATTACTGTTGTGTTGTGAGTGGCTTTGCTGCATTTCTGAGGTTGTATGCGTTTTCTGTGTTTGCAACGTGTCTGTGAAATGTAGTGCAGCTGTAGTCAAGTTGATGAGTGTTTTCTAAATTTGCATCACATTTATGAGTTTGCATTGTGTTTTTCATTGCACTGTGTATAGGGTCTTGTCAGCCACCATATAAAACACTTTATGGAATGCATAAGAAATCACATTAATATAAAAAAGTGAATTTAAAATTGTATAAAAAGTGTTATTTCCCAGTAAAAGACTGTAATGGATGAGTTATTAGACAATCATACTTCAAACACACATTGTTTGAGGTGTGGATCAGTACTGATCTCATTTTCCATAAACTGTCTGAAATTAGAAATTAGCCTGGAAAGAACCTGAGTCTTCATACCCCAAGCTATCATTTACTTTGGATTATATGTGGCAGAGACTGGTTACTTAATCAGACTAATGAATTCACTGAAGCTTCACAAAATAGGCTCTAGATGACAGCATGCAAATTTAGAACACAGTAGGACTGCAAGTGACATTTCTTCATATTAGAAAGGTGCAATTATGTGGAATAGGCCTACATTGAGATGGGTATTATTTTATTTGAATCAAGTTTCAAATTTAAGCCTAATAATATAGCCTTGCATCTCTGGAGTACTGTAGTCTCTCAGTCAAATCACACACATGGCAGTAATTTCTTTGAGCAAATAGTTTGCTGTAAAAGCTAGTGTTTGGTTAGAGTTAGCTCGCCGCTCTGCCACACTGCAGTTTAAAGTGGTAAATGTTAGGTCCCCTGGGGAATGGGAGTCATAAATGGCTCTCTTAACACAAGTCGTAGGTTACACGATATTGATCTTACCATCTGCTCTCCGTCTCTTGCATTTAGTTTTGCCTGCACTGAAAGAGTAAAGGCTGATTGCACATAAACAGCGCATGCTGCAGCTCATTGCTCTCCCGTAGTGAAAAACGCAGTGTTTGCATTGCCTTACAGAGCATGGGAAAGATCTTTTGGACACGTTGAAGTAAAGAGATCCTCTCTATGATGTTCAGGACAACCCAGCATACTCACCAGAGGGTTTGCAGTAGAGCCTTTACCTCCTGAAGAACTCTTTTCTGTTACATACACTTTTGAAGTTAATGTGTCTACAGTGAATATTTTACACATTTTTCTCTGTTGACCATTTCTCAGAAAACTTCAAAAGGTATGATTAGCAATTTTATTTAACCCTTAAAGTCCAGAATTATTGTTGGTTTGCTATACAGCCAATGTACTCTATGTAATTACATAATAATAATTGCATAATAACATAATTGGATAAAAGGTTTCAAAATTGGACAGTCAAATTTCATTGGGGGCCGTTGTCATCCTCGACCCCAAAACATGCATATCTGAGTGCTGGTTCTAAATTTGTTGTTTAGTTGTTGAACATTGTTAGCTTCAGATGTGCTGTGCAAAATAATTACCTGTCCGGCAGATATGCAGCAAGATCAGTGTCACTCATGCTCACCTTCCTTAGTGCCCTCTGTCATTCTCTCCTAGCCACAAGAATGATCACACCTGTCTTTGCTTTAGACTTGTCATTTTCTTTTCTTGGTCTGTTGGGCAGTGTAAACCATCGTAGGTAGGGGTGGAATTGGCAATATTGGTGTATTTTCTCTGCCATTATTTTTGGAAGATGTAGCCAGCTGTCACAGATCTCATCAGGTCTTATCATAACTCAGGTTTGTGGCTCACTAGGCTGCATTATGGCTCCCCAGTATATATGTAAGGAAGTACAATTCCACATTGACAGCCTCTTTGTCCTGATTGGTTGAATGTTAGGTGGTCCACTTAATTTGTTTATTTTCTTCCCATTAGATACTTTCCTCTAAGCATATACTTTGGTAACATCCAGCCAAAAGAGCATTAGTGAGGTCAGGTACTCATGCTGGATGATTAGTTCAAGATCACAAATGCCACACAAACTCATTCCCTAGGGGTATTGGATGGTGGAAGTTCTCCATCACTCCACTTCTAGTAACCACTTTGCATCAGGCATGGTTTCCTCATGTGCGATTCTTCCAGAGCATCCCATTGAAGTAGCATTGCTTTTCTATAGAGTTTATATAAGCTAGGTCTTTGTGTGTGTGTGTGTCAGTGCTGGGTGCACCCTAAAGTCACTGAATTCACTAATTAGACTGGTGTTCTGGATACTTTTGGATATATAGTGTTACATGTTTCAATGTATATACATGCCATTGGGGCACCTAGAAGGGTTAACGAAAGCAGTTAACAAATGAGCTACAGTAAACACACAGCTATGATGATGGACAAAATCTGACCACAAGCGAACCCAGCAGTTAATAAACACAGGCTGACATTTGAGATGACACTAACTAGCAACTTTAGTTAGTGTCAACTTCATAACCATTCTGCTTCCCCAGCACAGGACCACTGGTTCCACTTACTGAGTGTTCAGGAAATGTGTTGTTTTACCTGTTGATCTCTCACTTTCTCTCTCTCTCTTCCCCAAAGTCTCTCTACCTGATCCGCCAAGAAATGATTGTATGCCAGAAGCAGCTGGGAGAGTTTTGTGAGGCCCTGAAGCAGTACCTGAAGAACGTCTCAGCCCAGAGAGACTGTTTCCAGTGAGTGTGTGTTTATGTATTTGCAGTCTGTAGATTTATAGTTAACAGTTCTCCTCAGGTACATCTCACTTCTATTCTTCTTTTTGGCTTTCACAAACAGTCCATCTTCTTACACTCCTTTGAGAGTAGAATAATCTTCCTTCTCTAACAAGCCGCTTAAGTTTGTTCTGGTCTGCTGGAACTCGTATCTTTGATTCAGCGTTGAAATGGGCTGCATAATTTAGCCTCCAGTGAATACGGGTGGCAGGAAAGCAGAGGAGTCACTCCCTGCCCAGTTGTTGTTTTAGCTCATGGATTAATGATGAAATAGAAGAAATAAGCAAGTAATGTAGTGACCTTGAAGTGGTTTTGGGGCAGCACAATTTCTCCAGTATGAAGTGCAATGAATTCATTGCTAAGTTGAGATCCTAACCATACTTTAATGTAATATAGGGAACATATATTATTGTATGTTCCATTTATGTTTATATAGACATTATAATGCATTACATTTTCATATTGTTACACAAAAAAAATCAGAGAAGATGGTGAGTTCAACCAGCAAAAGAGAGGAGTAAGACTTCATGGTATTGTGATTAGACTGCCCTTATTTCTTTACATAGACCAAAGTATGTTCTATGTAACAAACTATAACCTCTTTCACATTTATAATAATTATTTATTTACTTTACCACAATTATCTTATGTTTATTTGCAGACACACAGAATGTTTAGATATGAGCTAAAGCTGTAACTGGTGCTGCTCACTGTGTGGAATGCTGTATCATTTATGGCGCCTCTCAGCATGTTAGCATTTTATTCCCTCTAACACAGCTCTCTACAGCAATAGCTGACCCTAACTTGTTTGGTTTACAAGAGGGATGATTTTTTGTCATTTTTTTTCAAGGGGTGTGTATTATCCCCTTCACATCCCCCCCTCAAATCGAGCCCATGGTACACTCTTTATAATAAAGGTGCTGTAAAGGAGCAGTGTCATAGAAGAACCACTTTTGGTTCCTTAAAGAGCTATGTTAAAAAAATTTGTGTGTGCAAGAACCTTTTAAAGGATTACAGAACCTTCACATAATATAAGGTTCTATTCTAATTCAAGGGTGTAACGGCTGCTCCCCTCTACCCTCTCAAAACCTGTGGCGTTTTGCCAGCTAACTTAAGCAGTAGGCCAAAGATGCAGGCTATAGTAGAGAAGGTCAGGGATCGCCAGACACACAGCACAGCAAACCACTTCGGCAGATGTGCAAATTATGCATGTTTACTAAAAAATAAAAAAAAAAGTTATCATAAACTACACCCCAAACCTCTGCCAGGGCAACAAGTTACAAACCTTTCCCCCAACAAAGCCCAAACCAAACATACAGTATTTAACATCTATGGCGTGCACCCGTCCCCCGATGACGGCCACGAGAGCTGGCAGGAAGGCGGGGCCCGAACTCTGAGCGAGAGGAGAGGAGAACAGCGAGTGAGTGGGGGACAGCATGCGAGTCCCGAGCTTCCTGGTCACTGCCTCCAGTCCCGCAGTGAGGCCACTTCAATTTGCCTTACGTCCGATCAGGACGTAGAGCAGGAGCAGAAACCACGAGGCAGGGCTCGGGACTCGCGTGCCGTCCCCCAGTTACTCGCCATTCTCCTCTCCCTGTCGTCTTCACCGGGGTTCATCCAGCTCTCGCGGCCATCATCAGGGCCCGGGGGACGGGTGCATTCCATAACATCATTAAGCACAACACAACAAAAAGACCAGCTGTGAAGTACAGTAATGGTATAGCAGTCCAGTACAGTGTAAACTCAGTCCAGCTGCAAACACAGGTCAGCAGCAATGGGTAGATAAATGGAATTAACTCACCCAGTCTGGCGCTGTGATGTGTGCTAGCATACTAGATGGCAACCTCATAGATGAAGATGGAGGCAGAGCATGAAGATAAAAGAAGCTGTGAAATGACGAAATGAGAAGAGACAGGGGTCATAATCTGGGTAGGTCGTTGTAAAACCAACAGTGATTGTAATCTGGCTGGGTGATCTGGTATCCCTCTCCCCAAAACAGTGTAATCGGGTTGATATTTGTGATAAACTCTCATTCAAAATCACTACACATAACACAAGTTCCCTCTTGCTCCAAAGCTTCCTAGCTAGATGTAACCAGGGACTTCTAAATATATATGTCCTGTTTTACAAGGGTTGGGCAACACTTCATTGAATAGCCCTGTAGAAGCTTTGTAGATATTTATCTTGCATTCAACTAAACTTTTATTAAATTCACATTAATTTTCACTACTTAAATCTTTCTCCAAACCCTAAGCCTAATATCAATACCGGTTCACTAAAAAACGCATCCATTGAAAGGTTTTGGAGGAAATCTGCACCTTTCTTTTTTAAGAGTGCAGTCTCCTGGTCCATGGAGATTATGAATGTCTATATAACAAGTCTTAAAGAGCTATTCCAGCCTAAAATTAGCATTTCATGTGTTGTTCAGTTACTTAGTATTCTATAGTGCAGCATTGCACCTCATTAATTTGACAGAATTCAAGTTTTTGTACTGTTTTTTTGTGTTTTCGACTAGCATTAGCATTAGAATCAGCATTCTCTCACTAATACCCAGCATGCATTACGTAAATACACCTTTGAAAATTCCTGTGGCGCTCAAAAAATATTGACTGTCAGCCACTAATCATGGTGCCAGCAAAATTAGAAAAAGAAATTTCAAAAGGTTCACTCTTAAATATTCACCCCAAAGCACTTGTAGATTTAAAAATTGATTTCGACCTTCAGGATACATAATCAGAAGGAGTTTGCCTGGTCTTTAAACCAGGAAATAGATTACTGCAGTACTGTTGTAGGGTGCAAGTAGGCATGTTTACAACAGATGTAGCAATGGGTAAATGTTTCATTTCACTGAAGTTTCCCTGTAAAAGTTGTATAATATGACACTGAACAAGATTATAAATAAGCAAAATAAAGACTGAAGTTTATCTGTTCAAGTTCAATTTCAATTTCAAATCAGCATCCTTTTTCCAAATGGTGAGTTTGTGTAAGTTTGAATGCGTTTTATAAAAATCACAATCAGGGTGGTTGTGTCTGTTTTTAAATGCCCTAAAATGAAATATTAATAGAAGCACTTTGTTTGACGGTTTCTATTGTAGGACTGGTCAAAAAGCCACCCTAAAGGCTGTGCTCTTAGAGAGGAGCTGGAGTTCTCCAGCATTTTGTCTTCCCTTCATGAAGCATGCTGCCCTTCTAAATAATTGATCAGTGAAATCTTCAGGTTCTGGATAGGTTCCATTACTCATTGGCATGTAATCCGTCTCCTCGTCCTTTCCCCTGTTTTCACTTTGCTTTGCTCTTCTCTCTGCCTTTTTCCGTGTGTCGTCCACTTTGCGTGTTTCATCTTTCAGACCTCTATGATGGTTGATTTAGGACAGTCTGCTGAGACTGTTTGAATGAAGTGCGGGCTCTCTGAACCACGGCTGATGATGAAATTCAATTTAGTCAAACCCCTGGACGTCAGAGAAAGATTTTCACTCACTCCTTGACATACACACATGTACACACACACAAGCACTTCCAGCCTGCAGCTCTCTTTCTAAGCAGCTCTTGTCTGATAAAGCTAATTTAGAACTCTCACACTGTGGTGTGTTCAATAAAGCAGTGCGGCGCAATAACAGAGCCGTAAGCAGCGGCCGCAGGATTACTGCCTCTAATGAAAGCTGCCAGGCGGTCAATAGGCACTGGCAGCTCTATCCACAGCCATGAGCTTATCTGTGATGTAAGCCACATGCAATATTTAGCTTATGTTCATCACTGCACTGTTCTATTGACTAAATACCTTTAGCTTTGGAGGCGTATGAGGAACTACTGCCATCCAGTGGAAGCCTGCATAGTGATATCAATTAGAATAAGTCTGCTCTCTTACAGTAAAGGTGCCATGAAGGGTTCTTCTAGAATATTGCCATTGAAGAACCACTGTATGTTCTCTAAAGAACCTTTCAATGGATGGTTCTTCAAGACAATTTTTGTAAATGAGATGTAGATAGACATACCGTAGGGTTTTTCCAAGAACAGTACATCCAAGCTGAGAACTATTTAGGAACCTTGTGTTCTACCAATGGAGAATCAGATGTATAACTCACTTTACTGAATTACACAGACTGTCGTCTTTGTTTTAACCATAGTTAAATATTCTGTAAAGGCTTTGGTGGTATTTTCATCTCAGTATCTGCCTCTCAGTCTAGTCTTAAAGCTGCAATATATAAGATTTTCTTGTTAAAATTGAAACTAGTAGCATTAGGAGTAAAAAAACACTAAAATATGGTGTGCTTGCACTGCTCTGTCATTATGTATAGCCTGAAATAGTAATTTAACGTCATACATCTTTACATATTAATGTCACTTGGACAGGCTAAGTAAGATGTTTAGGTCTTAAAAGCAAAATATCATACCGATATGATGACAGTAGTAGATCATTCCCACACATCCTCAGAACACACGTTCTTCGCAGTTTTGAGTTCTCATCAGATCCATCCACTCGGGTAAGGGGTCTGAAGCACAACCAACATTACATGTGTTCATCCTCACATTTTGTGTAATAACACATTTCCACCAGAGAGGGCTCCAATTTTTCAAATCATATATAGTGGAGCTTTAAATGAACAAGCATGGAGTGCTTTCACTCTCTTACTTATCTTTCTCTCTCTCTCTCTCTCTCCAGTGTGACTGCTGTGCGGCTGCCTGATGGCCTCTCCTTCGTCGTGTATGAATTCTGGGACGGGGAGGAAGAGTGGAAAAGGTAGCTGGCATGCTCACTTACCTTCACTGCCTGAATCAGTCTTTGCTCTTTCTTAAAAGGCTTTGTCCATTCCTCTCCAGCCCTGTGTCACTTCTCATAACAGTCTGAGACTGTCTTTATCTGTGAACTGCCTTTTCTCCCTCTGCTGCTGTACAGCATTCTCTGCAGTGCTTTCCTGCTGTAATCAATTTCCAGGGCGATGATGGGTTCAAAAGGGGGCTGCAGTTGGTTATGAACTTTTTTTTTCCTCTTTTCTTTCCTAGCACATGAAAATCAGCCCGCCTAGGGCCTGGCAGATCAAGTCATGGATTTTCTTAGAAAAAAGTCAAGAAAAAGCTCAAATTTAATTCATTCAACCATGCCAAATAGCTCTTAGTAATGAATTTTTAAAGTTTGGCCTGTCATGTTTTACATCACATTTATAGTATTGAATTAACTGCTTACAAAATGACTGAACTAAGCTGCAGAATTAACTGGGTATAAACACAGCACAGAAATTCCCTATGAATCAGCTAGTTTCATGCTAATATAGTCCCACAACAGGGTAATTTATTGGGGCAATGGGGCAATCATTAAACATTAATAACCAAAAAACTAATTAAAACACAAACTTTGCATGGCAGCATGAAATAAATAGGGTTTTATGCTTGAATTTTTCATGGAAATTCATGATAAGACATGCCAGGCTCTAGATCAGCTGGCACCCTACTGTAATAATACAAATCAGACTTCTTTAAATCAGACTTCTAATTAACAGTATCAGAACCATGTTTATCAACTGTAATTCACTACAAATATAAACAGCAAACGTCTAACAAACACAAGGACTTTGTGTTGTTTTTATTTTAATGATACTTCATTACATTCAAGTCAACTTTGTGTGTAGACTATGAATATGAATGGAATGGAACAATACTAATATCACATAACAACATGAATCCAAAGGAGGGGGTGCCTTTTTCAATTTATTTTATTTATTTATTATTATTTTTAATGGTGGGGCTGCCGTCCCTTTGCATCCCCCTTTTATTTGAGCTCTAGCTGCATGACAGATCAGACATCCAGTGACTTACTGAAGCTTCAGTGGATGTGCTGAGACAGTGTTGGCTCTGAGTCCAGTGGTGAATGCTTTATTAATATTTTAATCAAATATAGATTTTAGCGGAATGAATAGAGGAAGCTCATAGCTGACTCAGGTACAGTATGTAATATGTGATGTAGAGCCCTAAAGATGAGTGGATTCTCCAGCTCTATCAGTCTCTCCCCCATCTATCTGCCTTTATTGCTTGTTTCACATAAAAAAATTTATATTCACAGATAATGTGCTTGCAGCAGTCTTTTCTCACTTTGTTCACTTCATCTGCCTGTTCCTCAGACACCTCCAGACTGCAGCCTGCAAGGCCTTCCAGCACGTGAAAGTGGACACGCTGTCTCAGCCTGAGGCCGTGTCCAGTGTGGCTGTGCCAGGTGAGCCACTGAGGAAGCGACCTGCTGCAGGGCCTGCTGGAGGACTGGCTCCACGCTAGCCACTGATGCTATTTGTAGTGGAGTATTTTTACTTTGTCCAGGTGGAATTCAGGGCAAGAAACTGTGTAAAAGGTTATTTTTTAAAGAGGAGAAGTGCCTGTTGAGCTCAACCCAAATTCTGTATATGTACTGTTGCTTCCACAATGTCTACAAATGAGCTCCTACATCATTTGTGAATGGAATAGATCCAGATTGCGTCAAACCATGGCAACAGTGTCCAATAACAAACAACAATTAAACTATTAATGTTGATATGTGATGTTAAATTTTCATAGATCCATATGTTCTCAGAGCCTACCTGAGCACAAATCTGAAGGACCAAATGGCTTAAAAGAGGACTTTTACTATCACTTAATTTGTCATATAAAATCTTGTCTTTCAGTAATGGAATTATTGATTTTTTTCCCATAGACCTGCCTTGAAAGTCATTTACTCACTCATGTTTAGCAGTTGGAAATTGATACACAAGGGCACCATAAGGACTAAATAGCTTTTAATGCTCAAAAGAGCAGTGCTTCCCATTAATGTTGGTTAATGTCCTTGTTAAAATACAAACTCTGAATTTGATTGAGACTAAATGTATGAAAATATAATAAATCAAATAATGTTCAGTGTTAATCCAAGGCATAACTTTACAATTCTTTCTTTTTCCATATTGTACTAAATGTAGTTGTTAGACATGAATACTGCCAAATGTTAAAAAGTAAAGACAACAATGTGGATAAATAAGTATTGGCCAATCAGGTGTAGTACACTGAAGTGGCTGACTAAAACCCTATTTGGACAGGATCAGTTTTACAGAAGGAGGTGGGGTAATGTCATTTTTTACCGGTGTTTCTCAGTAATTTTTACCAGCTGTGCACTCCGGCGTCAGTAAAGAGTCCGGTGCCTTTTACCTTCTATAAAACAAACAGTAGAAAGGTTATATTACCCTGCACAAATCCACATGTTGGTAAAAAGGACATACTATCCTGTGGAAATGCAGTTTCTTAAGCATGGAGACGCTTGAAGAAGAGTTTAATTGTGTTCTCAGACCTAAAAAATTAAAACGTAAACATACAGAAAGAAAACCTTTGATTTTATGCGATGTTGACTGTTGATTGATGATCAAGCTGACAATACTAATGACACAGTGAATTCACTTAAGACAACAAGACAGATGGTTAGAGTAAATGAAATAACAGCTAAATTAAATGTTTTGACATTTTCTACTGTTTTCTGGAGTAAAGGCAGTACATAAATCCAGCAGACACGCCCATCTATGTCACTTATACTAAGCAAATCCTTCATAAACATTATAGACATCCCATGGTAAACTTACATTTGCCCACTTCCCCATGGACTACTAATCCTGTCCGAATATTCATTCAAGTTTGCATAGTTTTCACTGATTTAAGGGACGTTTAAGGTCATGGGGCATTGAATAGTGGCATGTATTGTTTATTGTGGCATTGAATAGGTCACGTCTCTAAGCACTGTGTTTCAGCCTTATAATATGCTAACGAAGTCATGATTTTCCTGCATATGAAATAACAGCATAAAGTCACAAATTGAGGGCAACAAAAGCCTCTGATTCACAGACAGACTGTGAATCTTTATATCCTTATTGATGAGGGTCTAAATTGTTTGATTGTTGATTTGATTCACAACAGAGCTGATTAGTGGCCTTTGAGAAATTAAGGATCTACACTGTGCAATCTTCAGATAAACAAAATTAGATTCACAAGTGCCTTATTGTGGCATTAAGAAGCCAAGTCCAGACATTAAATATGTACTCCAGTTTATTCTGAGGTGATGATGCAAACTGTTCTCTCTCTCTCTCTCTCTCTCTCTCTCTCTATAGCCGCCTGGTGCAGCCTTAGCAGAGACTGATTGGAAGAGAGCCAGTCTGCGGGTGGAAGACCCACCTTAGCCTGAATCGCCGCACTCCTTCTCTTCCTCTTCGTCCATAAAGCCTTTTCCTACTGCTCTATATCTGCCCTGATCTCCCAATGCTCCCTCAATCCCTCTCTCTTTTCCTCCTCTCTCCCTACATCTGCTGTCCCTCTCTTTTGTAACTACTTGTTTACATGGTGTTGGTTTCATATCGAGACAAAAGCAGAAGCGTTGACTGCAGAGAATGTTGAACATAGTGCCGATCCCTTCTTTAACTCTGTTAAGCTCGCTAACAGAAATCGCACTGGGACAGAATACCCTCGGGAATCACTCATGGCTGCTAAGTGGATCAAAACAGAGCGAAAGGATCCCCATTAGTTCTCTCCAGTTACATAAACACTTTCTCAATACCCAAAAGAGGCTGATTAATTATTCACCCCGTTTGGTAATATACAAGAACACAAACATGCGTTCATGTTCAGTAAACTGTTCCTGTAAGCCTGTCAGTAGATCTTGTAACAGAGGTGGACATGGCAGCAGCCGAGGGTTTTACCAGCCTGCAGTGGACAAGAACATCTGTCAGGATGTAATGGGCACTTTGATCTGCCTCTCTGAATGCAGTTCTGATGTGATGTTCCCAGCAAATGCTATACAACCAACAGTCACTTAGCAACCCAGTCACAGAGTGCACATGAAGTACATGAAGGAACGCTGTGGTAAATGTTTACTTGAAGGAGGTTTACAGAAATAGAAAATCTGATACACTGAGAGAAAATCTTAAAATATTTTATCTTAGAAATATATGGATTGTTTATTGAGAATAAATATAAAGCTCACTGAATATTCACAGGAAATCAAATTAACTCATGTCTAATTTGCATAAAACTTCTTTGTTGCACATTCCATAATGCAGACTTGGAACTATTACACAATTCAAATAGCAAGTAACTTCCTGATCACTGTCTATTACACAACAATCAAAATCTCACCACTTACAGAAGACCAAAACTGCCTCATGACTAATTAGAGAATTTAGGATTTCTGTATTTGTGAGTAGAAAAATCGTGGAATTTTTTGTGGGCTCCTGGATGAACAAATCAATCCCAGGTGACGCAAATGCCCCCCAGACTTTCTGTAACATTCCTAGCTATTTGCTTCCCCAGACAACCTGCCCCTCCCTCTCCATCCTCACCCCATCCCTCACGTGAGTGCATGGTCCAATGAATGTCCAGTAACTTATTTGCTGTAGTATTTAGATATGCTACTTTCAATAGATTTTGTGCATTTCTTAATTTCTTTTATATTACTCCAGTAAAAAAAAACAAACAAGGAATTACATGAGTGGAATAAGAACTCCGGTATGAAGTCACTTTTATGGCATTGTTTAATGAAATACTACTTCTTATACCTATGTATGTTTCCGTAAAACTGGCTTTCTCTATTAAAAGTGAGTGTAGAGACTTATTGCAGGGATGCAGATAAAATATTCGTCTTACCTTTGTTTAAAACCTAGATTATGTAGAGTGATGCAATTCAATAAAATTAAAGGTCTAAAAAGTGAATGAGAACTGGTTGTCATTTTTAATATTTTCAAATCCCTCAGCACCACATAAACACCACACTGAAGCAAGTTCAACAGACAAATGTTTAAAATTATTTTCCAAAACAATCAAATCAAATGAATTAATGACAAACATGAACGCAGTATTTACACAAATCTACACTATGCAGGGATGGACTGTACATACAGAATTATATCAAAACTTTGTTGAAGCTGCATGAGTAAAATTCAGCTTCTACTAGACATCAGTGGTTACCTAGATGTCTGCTCAAATGCAAACACAAGCACTTTGGTCTTCTAAGGTGGTAGCTGACCAGATGTTTTTTTTCCAGAAGTAACCACCTGACCTGGTTGGGGTTTGAAGGGGAATTCCATTGTTTCAAAAATTCTGCATAATTAAAATGCAAGCAAAGTCAGAGTGGTTTGATATGAGAAGTTGCATCAAAGAGAAACTTAAAGCTGGCAGTATTCTTCAAATGCGACCAACGTTTGTCTTGTTGGCCAAAAACAGCACAGTGGTTTGAGTTTGTACAGTACGGTGTACGCTGCTTACTAAACAGAAGTTCAAATTGCCTTCTTGTTTGTTAGAGCCCTCCCCCTGACTGATTGGTCCTAATTACCATGTCGAACATTCTAAGACCCCCACCAATTGTCACCCCCACCCCCCAGTTCTTATCACCTCCACTGTGAACAAATGAGACTCTGCACATTTCTCTACAACATAGCATTTCACATCAAACCACTCTGAATTACTTTAGTTATATCTTGCCTATTTAAATCAATGGAATTCACATTGAATGATTACAGGTGAGTGACAGTACAGATGTTTGAAAAACGCATGCTGATCTTTGACATTTTAGCTAAGAAACACTGACTGATGTGCCTCTAAATGGAAACATCTGCTAGGCAGTTTGCTCCATCAAGCCAACAGTTCTTAGTGTTTGTTTTTGGAAAGTGATGAAAAAACAAGTGTGATGGTGTCCCAGTGCCAGGCCTCATATTCTCCTGAACTTTAAGTATGTACCCAAGTCTGAAAGTGCTCAGGACTCATCGCCAAAAACATAGAAGCTCATGCTCATGACTTTTAAGCCTGGGCAAGAGGAACTGACATAGAACAGAATGCAGTGGAATTTCTCTCAAATCACTGAACAACAATAAAATGAGTATGGCTGACTCACTGATATTATTTCATCATAATGAACTGGTGCAGTGGAACTGATCAAATGTTGCACATCATAATTTAAAAGAAAATATAAACACACAGCAACATACATAAATAACACTGACATCCCAGCAGTACTTGTAAGAGTAAGTAAATGAAAGATCTCTGAAGAGGAGTTTGAAATGCTGAGAGAAATTACAGCTTATTCAAGACCTGCATGATGGCAATAGAAGTGCTCTGCCCAAAGATGAATGAGCCACATAAAAGCGTGATGACTCCCCATGCAATCAGTACCAACCTGTAAACGCAGACACAAGTCAGTGCATCAAATAAGTGACAGACTGCTTCTTGGCAGACTGCAGAATCTTAAAAGAAAAGGTAATTAAAACCTCACACCTATCTCACCTTAGTCTCGCTGGAACAGGCTGTGACTGCATGGCAAATATTAAACAAAGCCCTGCAATAAGAGACAAGAACGAACTGACATGGCAGGTAAAACATCATGATCAAGCATGCATAAAAATTGCTTGATCATTAGCTGGACTGCAAGTGCAGTTCACACCCGAATGTGGAGAAAGGGAAATACTTTCCCCCTAAAAATACACTGTACACTAACTGACCAACAGGGAGTGAGTCAGAGAATCCATTTATGCTCTGGCTTCTGACTGGCTATAAGTAACATGGCCTTCTCCCCTCCTGGACAAAAACTGCTGCTGCTAACAATGCTCATCAATGTGGATGTATACAGTTCTACATGCCTCAATTCCAAAAAAGTCCATATAATATGTGAAAAGCATCAGTAATCAGTAAATTCTGTTTGATCTGTATTAAACTGAAAACAGTACAAAAACACAATAGATAATGTTTTAGCCTATATTTTTGAACAAATATATGCTCATCCCAAATTTGGAAAATCAAGTCAGGACAGGAGCAAGTTTACCACTGTGTTACATCACCTTTACTTTTAACGACACTTAATAATCATTTAGGGACTGAAGACACCAACTGATCCAGTGAAACTTTTCGCCTGTTATGCAAGTCATTAACAGGGCCTTCTTTGTTGCACTTTGCGCTTTATAAATCTCCACACATCTTCAATGGAAAACAGGTCTGAACTGCAGGCAGGCCAGTCTTGCATCTGTACTCTCTGATTACACAGCCACGCTGTTGTAATGTGCAGAATGTGGCTTGTCGTTGAAATAAGCATGCATGTCCCTGAAAACAACAGCTTTAAGATGTCAACATATGTTGCTCCAAAATGTACATATATCTTTCAGCATTAATGGTGCCTTCATAGATGAGCAAGTTATAAGCTATACCATGGGTCCTAATACACCACCCATAGTGTGACAAGCCCTGGCTTTTGAACTTTTTACGCTGGTAATAATCTGAATGGTCTTTTTCTTCTATGGCCTGGAGAACACAACGTCCATTATTTCCACAAACAGTTCTATAAAAATGTTTTGAACATTAAATGTCTTAATGAAAATCTGAACATCTTTAATAAAACCACTTATTAAATAATACAATACTGAGTAACCCCACATCTTCTGAAAACACATTACCGCAAACACAAGCAATAACGAGCTTCTGGTAAAGACTGATGGCAACTTTGAGTGCTAATAGTGCTCTGTGCTGGTGAAGCGGCTAATATAACACTGTTTAAACAATACAAGTTAATAAAACATTATGTGTACATATTATTTCATATTATTCATTAACTTTTGATTCTGTTTCCCAGCTGTAGATCAGAAGAACTTCCTCTTCAGGCCTGGATCTAACTTAGCTGCTCTCGGGTAACATGCCCAGTCACTTTGTGTTACTGCAGCAAATCACGCCGAAGCAAAATGGCAATTATTACCTTTTACACATCGGCATTATTTGTCAATCATCAAAGATATCCAATTACATCACCCTTTGGCCCAGGCCTATTATGCACAGACATTTCTCCAGATTCCTTGAATCTTTTGATGTTATATACTGTAGAGAGAGAGAAATCTAAAATCCATGTCCCAACTTTTTTGGAACGTGTTGCAGGCATCATCTTTAGAATGGGCGCATATTTACAAAAACAACAATTAAGTTGATAAAAAGTAACATTAATATCTTTGTGCTGTTTTTAGTTTAATACAGGCCAAAGTACATTTACAAATCATTGCTTTCTGTTGATTTGTATTTGCATACTGCCTCAACTTTTTTGGTATTGAAGTTTGTAATTCAGCATCAGCATATACAGAGAAATGAGAGTCAGACTGAAATCCTGTGTTTGCGGTCTAACCTGGGAAAATGAAGATGAAGAATGCACTAATCCCACCAATTCCACTGATAACTTTGCTGATGTCTGGGACAAACACTGCGATGAGAAGAGTGGAGACAACCCACATTATGGTGAGGCCGACTCTGGTGCAGGTCTCAAAGGAATTAGTCACCATGAGGTGTTTCCCTCTGCACTTCAGTAGCCGATCCTGAATCACTGACCTGTAAAACATGCATAGTAAGCAAACTAGACTTGCTGGACCTGACTGACAAATGAAATCCACACTGCTGCACTGAACAGGAAAAATGTTTCAAATTAAGTCCACCTTAAAATTATGTAGACGTGTAACTTTGCATTGGTTTTCTCTTAAACAGCAGCTATACTTTCAATTTATTTATGTGTTTAAGCTACGCAGTTATGTTAGCCAGTCCAAAAACAGAAAACTGCCATTTCCCAGGGTGAGATATAGTATTAAACTATTAGATATTAGAAATTAAACAGCGTATGAAACATGAAGAATTCACAACAATGCATACTTTAATTTTCAATTCTGAGGTCAAGATCAAATATTTCAATATTCTGTGCTTTTTAGGTCTTAATTCTACAGCTCTAGTTATATACTACAGAGTTACCCTGTATTAGTTACACTCAGTCAAAATTGGTTGTGACGGTAAAGCAACACAGAAGTCATTGTATGATTATTCTGTTTGTAACTACTACATAATAACAACTTAACATTGGCATTTGTTACTACCTTCCAAGTAGTAGAACAATAGGGTAGATGGTGATGATTGAGACTCCAAACAGCAATCTTGCAATGATCATGAGGACATCATCTCCACTGTAGGACATCAGAACGTCAGCGGCAACATTGTTCCCAAAGGTGAGATATCCATAGATTCCTGAACAGACATGGAAATGTTCATACAAAAAGAAACTAAGTACAGCTACATTATTTCTTTACAGAAGCAGGGAATCCAATAATGTCTGACATATGTAGTATGTCCTGTGTCTGTCATCCTGAACATCCTGAACCAGCGCGCTGGCCTATAGCACACACGTCAGTCAGATGAGCACTGCTAAGATGACCTAATGCTGCATTCAAATAATGTTGGAAACAGTCAAATACCAATTTTCCAACTTGGATACTGTGTTCCAACAGCGTAAGCGCAAAGAGGTGCAGTGCAAAGAGGAAACAAAAGATTCTGGGTGTTTACCTGCTGCACCTTTTCCACTGGTGAAAACTTACCAGTGAATGTTCAGTAAATAAATATACCTGACGCGTTTCAATTCTTGTTCTTACATAATTGAAAGAAGTGCAAACATCTCTTTTTATTAATATGGCAAAGAAAATGCAGGATAAGTATCCTCCAAAGCTCTTATCATATCCTTTATTTTTCTGTGTTGCTGGCATACTGTCCAACAGGCAATGGAATGGAGCAAAGTCACTCTCTGCTTTGTATGACGTTCCTATAAGCATCCGACCACATCCAACATTAACATCAGTGCCCCAACAACATTACAACAACATGTTTGATAATGCATTAACTTTTGTTTGTTTCAGTTCATTAAATTCATTATTTTAACATCAAAAACCTCATAAATAAATTCATACATAGGTTTACAGGTGGCCACATAAATACACAGCGAGTGAATAATTCCAGCAACAGTACTACAAACAATTACATCAAAGAGCCCCACCAGTGAGGGAGTAAATGACAAGACAGAAGAACATCGACACCAGAGAGATGATGACCCAGTGAGAGAGCTTCTTATTCTCCATACTGCTGTAGATGGCAATGCAGGCCTCATGACACTGGAGAAAAGACAACAAAGACAAACGAGGCGTTAATGCAGATTGTAATAACATCACAGAGCTTATAAGTAATCAAAACAATTCTGGCCATTCGAATTATAAGTGTATTACTTATTCAATGCAGAAGAGACATTTCTGGACAGTTCTATCTGCACTATGTATAAATATCATCTACATGTTCACATTAGAGTTGTCACAGTACTAGAATTTTGTACCAGTGCCAAATGTAGGATCACACTTCTATGGCAAAAATGAAAAGCTTTATCAATGTTGGATCAAACATAGACAAAATATTAAAGAAAGATCAATTAACATGTCTAATTTTCATATTAAATACATTACATAATTAACTAACATACTTCATTCAGCACATTCTGAAAAGAAATACAATATAGCCCAACATTATCACACTGAGTTTAAAACAGTTAGCAAATGCGTTATATCTTTTGTCGACTGTTTCGAAGAGCACAAGGTCACATACAGTAAGGTGCAAAAGACAGAACACTCTTCATTAATTCTATTTCCAGTCAAAACAGCCATTCAGTACGAGTTACTGATTTTTCAGTGTCAGGAAAAGAATAAAGAAAATGTAATTAACAGAAAATTACAGAGGTCTCAACAGCAAAATATGAACTTTTTCAGTATTTTTACAGAAACCTGCAGACATAGTTTACCTCCAAAGTTAAGTGTTAAAATTTGGCTGCATTTTCTGCTTGTCATGATCCAAGTGATCCTAAACACATTCAATGATGTTGAGGTTTGGGTTCTGGGGTGGGCAGTCCAAAGACGGAAGCTTTAAGTACTGTTTACCTGTTGGTGATGTTTTTTGGTGGTCTACTAGGTCTTGTATGGTTGTTATGAGTCCCATTTTTCTGTACCTTTAATAATTTTGAGTTTTGGAAACTCCTGTTTTTCAATTCATTTCCTTTGACATTTCCCTTTCTTATGCATGTGGATTATTTTATATCAAATCTCCTCAAAAATATCTTCTTAAAAATAAACTACTTGTACTTAATGGCTGCTGAATAAATAAAGTGTGCTCTCTGACTTTTGCACAGTATTTTTGTGCACACTATATATACTAATGGGACAGTATATGTACAAACTAGCATGTGCAATTTGATTCGATTATAGACAGAAAATAACATTAATGGAAGAAGGTTTGTTAAAGAAAAAGAACTGGACATATTGAAAGTTAAGAGTATAGAATTGTTTGGAATTGAACTGAACGGTACCATGTAGTGAGAATAGACAACGAATGGACCTTTTGATACAGTGTACAACGCTAGTTTGTTGTATCCCACCAAGGCTCAGTTATGTTCGTTTTAAAATGACACGAACATCAAATCTTGAACTGGAACATGAAATATCTGGATAAAAGATGACCCAAATCAGCTCTTTGAATAACACTGACAATTTTAAATCCTGTTCAGTCAAAAATGGCTGAATGTCTCTGCTGCATATTTGTCCAATCTGCAATGAGAAATGAGGAAAGACTGGCAACCTGAGCATTCCAAACAAATATACTCCCATTAAAATGAAACATGTCTGCTTCACCTGTGAGTCAAACCAGCTACACATACATATGCTCATTAAGCCTCCATCCGAGGAAGGAGAAAAAAATCTTCCACCGAGTCACCTCATTTCTCACACAGCTCTTTCAATATTCCTTTTCCTTTCTTCTTCTTCTGCCCTGTAATCAATCAGCCTCCAGCGATGGCTGGCGAGAGCTCCTGCTCTCCTATGTGGCTTTACTCTCAACTTTTATTACACTTTTGATAACCCCCACTGCACTGCCTTGGTTTCCTGGAAAGCAATAAATAAAACTCCCAAAATGTATCGTTCTTTTGCTGTTTTCCACTCACCTGACCTTACCTATTATGGCTGGGCTGGTATGAACTCTTGCCTTAGGAATGATGACATTTGGTGAAAGAATTTCAGTGTCCCATTCACAGGTAAAATGCCAATACAGAAAATAGCACTGACAACCTCCATCACCCTGCAGTCATTCCACCCAGCACCCACTCACCTGAAAGCCAAAGCAGATAGTGGGAATGACGCTGAACATCGAGGCCCAGGTGCTTATCCTAGAAAGAAAAAGGCCAGACACCAACACACAAAAGAGTAACACCTTAAGTAATGGAGAGAGTTATTCAAACATTTAAGAGGAGCTTCTTTTGTGTTTCTGTCCCCTGACCTTCAGGAGGCAACTGCATCTTTGAGTGTTCAGCTGTCAATCTCAACTTTTATTTAGCCTCAGCCCTAACCTTCAGACTGGCTGGAGTGGATGAGATTAAGAGAAGCAATAATGCTGTGTAATCATTGTAATCGATTGTATGTGGTCTGCCCTGGACCCTGTGCTGTTAAAGTCTGATAACTGATAATATCAGCTGACAATTTAATATGGTCAAAAATTTAACAGATTATAGTAGTTTTAGTTAAGCAAAACTGTACTGACTGATATACATGTCTGTTGTAAACTGTGAATTGTCAAATATGGTTGTCAGCTCACAACGGTCAAATTTCTTAAACTTACAGCACAAACTCTTAAATCATACACTGTAGCACCAAAAGCAAATCATCAACATTATTATTTAACTTGTTTTTCATCAGTTTCCTTAATAGAAAGAGCATTTTATTGTGTGTCGTAATGTTAACCTCATGGTAAAGGTTAAGTTAGGATGCACTTTACATGTTTTTGTTATTTTAACGATGATGGTGTTCTGTGTTTTTTCCAGCCTGTTTTGCTGTAATAGAAGTGAGTAGTGGTGACAGAGCTTAGCAGTCTTTATAAAAATCTGAATGGTTGTCCTCACCTGAACATCTATTTTTTACAATATAAAACCAGCCACTAATGGAATTTTTCCACTAGGAAATGAAGTACGGTAACAAATCCATGACCATAATAATATGTTGTCATTTCTACTGCCAAGTGAAGCACACTGTACTTGAGTAACTGTGCTGAATTTAGCTACCTTTCTTATAAGGTTGGCAAGTGTGACAAGCAGGAACATATGTATACAGCCTGTACAAAAGATTAGAATAACGAATGTTATCATGAACTGGTTGCTATTCCATAGACTGAACTGTTTTCTTTGTAATTAAAATAAGCAAGTGTTGCTGAAATTTATCGGATTTATGTAGCAGCTTATGTACATTTTTATGTCCCACTTCATTTAGATTGGACCAGGGAAAACGCATGGCTCATATTAAGTTTGAACATGAAGATGATCTGGAAAGACTGTGCAAAATTTATACAGAAAGTGACCATATTTTACAAATACAGGGTGATTCAAAAAGATTCATCCAATTTCAAAATGATTTATTTCATTTGTAAATCATTACAGAACAACGCAGTAAACTGTAAACGGTTTAAGTGAGCATAAAGTTTATTTTGTAATTTTACAAGTACTCAATATGACCTCCTCCAACTGTACGGACAACATCAGTGCAATAGTCAAATTCGTCCCATACTCGCTTGAGCATGTCTATGTCACTGTACTCACAGCTTTTTCCCATTATCCAGTGTTGCGGAACCTACTGTCATGATTCTTCTGTGCAATGGGAAACAGACAGGTGCTCAACCAGGGTACAGACAGTTGTGGATTTGGATTAGAAACCAGATTGTGCTGTACACTGCCTGGTGGAAAACGTCTTAAATTGGCGGTGATTCAATGTCAGGGTTATCACAGACACTGATAAATCTGTAGGACTTCAATAGTGGCTGATTAGTGGCTGGTCAACCAGGATATCAGTCAGACTCAACTGCTACAAAATAGAAATGAGATCAAATACTTACCCACTGCTGTATATAGGTGACAGGTGGACCTCAGGAATTACTCTTGTATAATATTTTACAATGATTGCTACAGTCAAATATGTGGCAGCTAGAGTTCCTAACACACTACAGATCAAAAAAAGAGACACAAAGGAAAATTATGTTTGACTTGGGCACTGTGAGATTTATACATCTACATTTGGTAGTGACACATTTTTAATGGCCATTTCTCAAAAAGCTAATTTAAACGTTAGGCCTGAAAGGCATCAAACACAGAAATGCTGTCGACAATCAATCATGTCATGACAATGTCACTGTAAGAAATGATAGCAACGACTGTACTTGTTGATAACTCAATCGAACAGTGACAGTCTATCCATCGCAGTATCAGAGACAGCAGCATTTGTTTACTTTATTAATGATATGGCACTGAAAACAATAAGAGTTATCTACTGCGATCAGTCTCTCACATTACTACAATTACTACTGAACTATCTCCTTAAAATCCTCTGAAGTGCTGCATGCAAATGTTTTTTACGTTTAGATTAATGGGCTGAAAACACTATGAGCCATCATCCATTCTTTCAAATCCTTCAATCCGCTAAAGCTATTTTAATGAGCGTTTCTCACCTGGTGTACTTCTGTATCCCAATTTCTTTAGGAATGGAGAGGGGGAGGATGAGGAAGAGACATAAGAGGAGGAGAGTAAACCTCTGGTCTGTGTACCAATGATGAGGCATCTCACTTTCACTTGAGCCTGTGATTACCTCATATATAGAGACCCACACTGAGACACAGGCAAAACAAAGAGATGGGGATAAACAGATTAAGTTTTAACAGTCAGTACTATCTGACCATAACTGTTATACAGTACAGCAATCACTGGAGTAAAATAAAGCAATGTGGTAAAAAACCTAGAATGGACTCAAAGACAGAGTGAACGGTATTTACATTTCTGAAGCTGGTCTGCCACTATAATCAGGAAGGCCACAGAGATCATGAAGAGGTTGAAGACAAAGCAGATCTCACAAAGCTTTCCTATGGCAGGCCCACACACATGTCGCACCACAGCCTGGTATGTGCTCTGTCCGCTGATAGAAGACGAGTACCCCAGGATGACCAGTCCACTAACGAGGAACACAAGAGACATCTGAGGAGGAGAGTAAAATGCCATGAGCTACTATCGTACCTACTATCGAACATGTAAATTCTACTAAATATCTAAACTGTCTAAAGAATTAATGACAGAGACAATCGTGTCAGGTAAGGATTACAACAGTGTCTTGAGATGGTTTCTTTCCATTTTAGCCCACTCTTTCACTAACTTTGTGCTTCATGTCAGAGCAAGACACAACACTGACATTTCCACGCTCTAGAATGACAACTGTAAGGTGTCTGTATATGACAGGTTCAACAGACATGAAGGAACACCGAGACAGTTTGACTGACCAGCAAACTCACCAGACTACAATCCCAATTCTCAATTTGGAACAGCAGGTGGAATGCTGAAATTGGCACAAACAAACTCTGGCTGAAATGGGCACCTAGTTCAGGGAAGAGTGGGCTAGAATGGACAGGAGACTGGTGAACCTTACCTGACAAGAATGGCACCATCATTAAAGCAAGAGGACATGTAATCAAGTATTAGAAAATAAATGATGCATGTGACTATTTTTAGTCTAGTGAACTTATCATCAGCCTCCAATAATATATCAACACTCTAAATAACGGCCTTCAAACATCATATCTCATTTCTGCATCACAGCATCATATCTACACTGTCAAAATATCATATCATATTCTCCATTATATGTATCTACCTTCTATATTATACGTATGCTCCAAATATCTACATTCTCACCAAGTACCATAACAAAACTCCACATCATACCTACACTCACCATCATATCTAGTCACCAGATATCATATCTACATTCCCCCTCATATCTACCTAAATATCTTTCTCCATATTATCAACACTCTCCATGTACCATATGTAAATTTTGTCATATCTACACTCTCCAGATATCATATCCACATTCTCAATCATGCCTCCTGTTTTCGGGTATTATACTTTTGACATCTTATCTACACTCTCCATATACCATAACTAAACTTCACATCATATCTACACTCTGCAGATATCACATGTACATTCTCCATCATATCGTCAGTCTCCAAATATCCTATCTACCTTCCATATCATATACTCTCCAAACAACATTCTCTATAATATCGACAGAGGCGTAGTCAGGGGGTGGCCAGAGGTGGCCTGTACCACCCAAGCATGAAGCATGGCCACCCTTCTGGCCACCCCAATTAAAAAAGTGAGACAGTCGGTTGTTATCAGTCAGCCATCATTAATAAAGCATCAATTATGCTTAATGGTGAAAATCTGTCATGAGGGTAGTCACCAATTAGTTATAAGAGTGTGATAATGCAATAAACAAACAGAGCATCTTGCAAACAGCAAGAGTGCTGCTCTGTGAGTTACATTATGAAGCAGGCTATGGTAAGATGAATTAACTATCAAAAATTAATGATCTACAATCATTTGTCATACTAACTAATTACTTTTTACAGGTGAACACATGCGTGTGTTGTTGGTTAGCTTATACAGTGCTGTCTGGCTAGGTTTCTAATCATTAGACTTTGTATAAGCTGTAGAGAATGCAACCTAAATCAGTAACCTCTATGGCATGTCTATATGAAATGTTATTCTTAAAGTTAATGTTGTGCACCAAAAAAGTGATGCATTTAATTTTCTTGACTCAAACACAATAATTTTCTTCTCGAATGAATAAAATACATCAACACAATTTGATCTTTTACTTTAGGCAATATTTGTATATGTAATATTTTATTCATATGGAAATGATGGACAGATTCAGATATGTACAAAGAAAAAACAAAGCATCACTTGTCATTTCAAGCAGTGTGTCACCCCCCAAAAAAATCTGGTCTCTGGGTAACAACACTGTCACACAGCTCTCCAAGTATCATATCTAAATTTTACATCATATCAACACTCTCCATCACAACCATCCCTCCCATCATATCTACACACTTGATCATATTTAAACACTTCAAATATATCTACATTTCGCATCATACCTCCAATCTCCAAGTATAACATCCAGAATCTTCCACACTATATCTGCACTCTCAATCACACGTTGTCCAAATATAATACACTCTCTAAGGATCACTCAGTATTGACTCTCTGTAACACGCATCACTGAGACTGAGACCATGTTTCATTTCACCTGAAGCTTCAGTATTTCACAGAGCACACCTAGAGCAACAGGTTCTCTATGAAAACACTAATGTATCTGAACACTTAGAATGTAAGGGAGGCCCATCTTTCACCTCTTTTCCTATCAAGTTGTGTTCATGGTGTTCGCTAAGCTACTGACCATTTCCACGGTGAGAGCAGAGTGGATTCCTCCGGCCCGGGCGAAAGCCCACGGAAAGTTCAGCAGTCCTGCCCCCAGAGCGGACTTCAGCATGATGACCATCGCCCCGAAGGAGCCCAGGCTGGGGCCGTCAGCGGCCAGCGCGGGTTTGGCCAGTAAGCTAATGCTCTCTCTAGCTAGCTCTTCCATGTTTGGCAAAAAGCAGAACTCTACCTAAACCACACGCGCCCCTCAAGCAATTAGGTGAAGGGCATGAGGAAATCAGGCAGCTGATTGGCTGTAGCTGCAGGCGTTCTTAAGTTTGTAGACCAATCACATCTGTGAAGCACGGGGCACACCCGGCAACATGGCTGTCGCCAACTCTTCATCAACAGTGTCCAGTGAAGCATAGGCCCAGAGCTCACTGTAAGCAGAAATAACTTACCTGCTTAACATAGCGGCCTGTTTTGTTATAGGCTAACGCTGGAAGGAAATTTACCCTGTTACCTGTTGCTTGCCAGGTACTGCACATTTACAAACCAGAAAGTTTTCAAAGCTGATAATCTAAGCCATCCAGCTATTTCATTGAGAATAGCTCTGCTACAAAACCCTGCATAGTCAGCAGCAATGGAAGCTGTGAAGCTGATCGCCACCAAAAGCAGCATAGTTGTGTTTTGGATGCTGGTATGCTGGTTGCTATGGAAGATGACATGCCGATCACCACCAAAACTAGCATATGTTTTGTTTAGATGCTGATATGCTGGTCACCCAGCATTACCACGCTGGGGTGACCAGCTAAACCAGAACCAGACCAGCACTAGACCAGCATAAATCAGCATAGACTAGCTTAGACCAGCATGAAATGCTTGCAGTTTTTTCAGCAGGAAGGGCTGTAATTAAACTTTAGCTTTGCAAGTTGCAAACTAGAGAGTCTTCTTTTCTGAGAAACCTTTCTGATACCAATATTGAAAGCTTGAGTATCAACTGATAATATCTTTAGAAAAGACTAAGCTTTGAAATTAGCTATTTTTAAGTATAAAACTTAAGGCTATCAGCGCAAACTATTCAAACACTCTGCTACCCCACAAGAAGGAATACAGAGCTAACATTACAAAATGTGAGTGTGTGCTATTGCAGGGAAGATTTTGGATCCGGTTCATTCTTTTTTCCCTTTTTACAGTCATTTTGTAAAACGTACAGGCAAGTAAGATTCTACAAAAAAAAATTCAGAATCCCAACAAGGGGGCACTATTGGCACTCAAGTAGTTTTGTGTGTGTCAGTGGCAGAGAGGAAACCCACACCAGCACAATCTCACAAAGGCACCAGCATTTACAGTCACAGATGGGAAACAAAAGTGTTTATTATCTAAAGGTTCAGTGTATTTCATATGTGATAATTAATAATGAATTTAATCAGTTCATTCCAAAAAGGATCTAGGCTAAAGAGAGCAGAGTCCATAAATGCAGCTGCCAAATTTTAAAATGTCAGTATGCTGACTTGCTGGCATTACATAATAGCATTACAGCCTTTAACTAAACCTCTGTGTATTATGTACATCGTGTAACCCTCTGTTTAAACTCATTCTACAGTGTTTAAGTCTAACTGATAGACTACAACTACCATAAACTCTAGAACGTAATCTGCATTGTAGTTCGCACAACTCTGCTTGAGGAGATGGCTCGGGAAGCTGATATTTGATTTTGCACACACAGAGTAATGAGAATAGTTCTGCAATTACATGATTGACTACAACTTCCATAACTAGGACAAAATATTTGGATGGAGATGCTACATATTCACACACACAGAAAAGTCTTCTGCATTTGTGCAACTATCAACTTTTCTTGTTTTCTCACAGGATTCATTTCTCCTAGCATGTGGGACAACACTGTTGCACTGTACAGCTCTGTCTATAACTTATGTCACTTGATAGGTGAGGTACACTTGACCAGACTAGCATGTGACCTCTGTTAACAGGGAACCTCTTGACACCATAAAGTGTGAAGTCATGTGTGTCCTCACTGCTCAGTCATGTCAAAAAGGTCATGTGTTGTAACCAGACTCACTGCTGAGTAGCCATTCCCAAGCTGGTCATTGGCACCAGCTGTGGTGGTGTAGGCTGGCGCTGTGGGCTCAGTATCGGTTCTTGGCACAAGAAGGGCAGAGAAGGCTGGCACTCTTCATCCAGACCTGGCTTTTTAGCAGAGGAGGTAACAAGTAAGGCTGGAAACCTTCCAAAGAAAAAGGGGACGTGGTCATGTGACCTCATAGAGGACATGATTTGAGAAATCCACTGAAGCACAGATAACTGGTCACAGGGTCAGTTCCCATGTTCTTCATGTAATTAGCCTCCATCGAGGGCCATCATGCTGAGGGGCCAGTGACATTTTCACAGGCTATTCGGCCCCATTAAAAGTGGATCAGGGACGAGGTTTAGAGGGACCGCCTGAACCCCATCACCTTTAATGAAATTAGTCCACTTCACGCTGGCCCAGGGCCACAGCATGGGTGACTGGAGGACTGATGTGCAGAGGGGGGCGGATTGGATTTGGAATGGTTACAAGACAAAGGCAGAGAAAAGAGTGGCTATTGTGCTCTCGACCCACGACAACTTTAAATAGTAGAGCACTTTAGATTGTTTTTGGTCTGTAGCACTGTTGTTGAAACGTTCAGCAGTGGTTAGCATTAAAGAATGGTGCTGTTGTATATCATCAGCATGGATGGCAAATCTGTTTAGCAGTAGATGAGAAAGTTTTCTAATTATAGATAACTATAGATATATATATATATAATATTATTATTAACTAATGGACACACTATATTTTATTTAGTTAGGCTCCTGTGCCATTTCTGTTAAATCTGTTTTCTGCTTGTACTTACTGGCCGTCATGACTTTTGCATAGTACTGTAGGTTGACTGAAAGCAGGTGTCTGAAACTTTGCGGAAATGTGTGAAAGCACTGCATTAAACAAAATCCTTTTCGCAAAATCTTGCTATAGGATAAAGAGGATAAATCCCAAGTGAGTTTTGCTCCTCTGAGTGACTGACATGCAAATATCTACATTCTGATGCACTAGCTGTGCCACTTTGTCAACATACATTTCACAAATAGAACCTTTCAAACTGACAATAGCATTTGTTTTGTCTGGCATTGAAAGCAGCTGCTGGGAAAAAGTCATACATCCATTGAGATACAGCAGCTTGCCTTCTATCTCAGTAGTCTGGGAATGAGGCCAAGTACTGTTCACACTCCATTGGGCTGAGTGCCGCTATGAAACATGAATATAGATTAATCTATATTGTGGTTACATTTTTGTTTTGTTAGTGTTTCACTGACAAAGACCAAAAACACAATATAATCAGCATAAAAGCCGCTTGTTCGTTGAAAGCCACATAAAGACTTCATTTTCTGAGCCGTGCCCTGTGTGACTTTTCCAGTAAATAGACTTTACTGTGAATTGGAACGGGTTTAATTAAGTCTTGTGATATTAAATATTTAGTAAAGGCTTCGAATTTAATGGAAACAAATGTTCTATTTGGACGCCACATTTCAAACTGGCTTCTGAATTATACAGGTTTAGCGCAACTAAATAAGTCAATTAATGTTATGTCTGTGGAGAACATTCACAATGAAGCTGTCATTTCTGAAGCAGGCTCTGGGAGCTTAAAGAGATTTTCAGCAGCTCCTCTCAGCCTCGTGCCCTACCAGTTTCATCAAGTTGCCTAAACTACTGCCTACAACATAGTGTTTGTGAAAAGTGCATACAAAAATTATGCCAATATACTGATGACTTGTGGGCAGATGTCTAAAAGTGTATTCAAGCTGTCTAAGCAAATATTCCAACCCAGGAAGACAGTCATAAAAGATTTTTCTGCCCATTAGTGAATGCAACTTGCACAGGACAGGGACTCTCAGAGGAAGAGAAAGCCCCAGACGTCGTGTTAGTGTGATATAAAAAGCAAGGGTTGACAATGGCTCTCTTCCAATGATAGAACCTGTTAGCAGAATTTAACTCATTTATAACCCGCAGAATGGACTCACAGGCCACTCAGTCAAACGCTGAGTGAGAGTGACAGCTCCATCTATCTTCTGTATGAAAGCAAACAGAGGACAGAGCCATTCTGTCCATCATGAGTGAGGCAAAGCAACACTCATAACTTCCAGAACCACAGCCAAGAGAACTCAACTTTCTACTTCAAATATTACATAAGCTCACACACAAACAGCACAGTGCAAAAGTCAGTAATCACCCTTCATTTACTTCATTTCCAGTCAAAAAGGCTGTTAAGTACAAGTTATTACAATCCACTTGCATAATAAAGGGACAGTCAAAAGGAAAATAAGTGGAAACAGGAGTTTCCAAAACTGGAGGTCAACAAAATGATCAAAAGACATAGGGAAAAATGGGACTCCTAACAAACATGCAAGACCTGCTAGACCACCAAATCAAGCTCCACTCTTGCTTCAGATCTGAAAAAAATCCAGTTGTTTCTGTCCACCTTTCCAAGCCATTACTAAAAAAAACCTCAGACCTCAATATCACCGAATTTATTTGGGATTACTTTCACCATGAGAAGTAGAAAAAGCAACCAACTTGTAAGAATTCTTCTAAGAAAAGAATGGAAGCTGTAATAAAGGCAAAGGGCAGACACGCTAAATACTGAATAAGTTATAACATTTGGTTGTTGATTCTTCTGTATAATTTCCGGTTAAATGTTTTGTTTTTTTCTCAATGCTGAAAAATGAATAGCTTGTACTTAATGTTCGTCTTGACTGGCAATTAAATAATAAAGAGTGGACTCTAATTTTACACTGTGCTGTACTTTTTAATAGTTCTTATGCTTCATTTGTTGACCACCCTCAAACTTTCAGACTTATTTTCAGATTTCAATTCTCAAAATGGGCCATCCTTCATTTGAAGCTTAGTTTCATCTGACCTGTAACGCTGCCCTATGCGAGCTTACCTTTGATGCAATAAAAAGGCAGAGACAAGTGTGCTGCTTTATTATGGATGAGATATATTTTAACATTGTTGATGCTACCCCACCAACAAAGGTGAAAATGATGACACTATTTACAAAATTATCAGCATTAGCCCATTTTATAAAAACAAAAACAGGACACAAAAAACAAAATGACTCAATTTCAAATTTTGACCGAAAATACAAAACCTGGGAAATGTGGAAAACGTTCAAAAGGCTAGATGTCCAGAACACTATGCCTCTTTTTATGTGCTATGTTTTTTTTTTCTTGGTTGTCCAGTTCAACATGAAAGGCAAGGGTCAAATCATCAATTGAGCATTGTCAATAAATTAAAAAAGTACACGATTTTGGTCATTGGAATGAAAGGCTCTTTTGTAGAAAGGAACACTATTGTCCATAGGCAAACCCCACAATTAGGGGTCTGGTTGGCAGTTTCATCATAGGTAGAGTGCATCAGATGGCAGTTCAGTCTCTAACAAATGACACACAAACACACACCATCTGAAAGTCCTGGTGTGTTAAGGTTTTGGTGTGAGGCAGTGTCACACAGTAGGGTTTTTGCCTGTGTGGGGCGTCTGTTGCTGCTGCTGCTGGAGGTAGAGGGGCCGTTTGATGCGAGGTTTTCTACGCTTGGGCTTGCTCCTGGACTTGGTCAGCTGCACCACAAAGAAGGACAGCACGACCATAGCACCCAAGAAGGCAAACATAGGGATGGTCTGACCCACCTCCTGATTATAACGTCCTGGCATTATACCTGAGGACACACAAACACACAGACTAAAGATCCATTCTTGCATTTGTGTAAAAGATAGCAAAACAAAAAAAAAGAAATTTACTGCTTAAATATCCAGCATGTTATTGGAGAAACATGTCACAATATTGACAGACACTTCTTGCTGACCATAAGAGCAGCATCTCAGTCAATGCATCCTTCATCTATGTGCAAAAAACAGTTTGAAACTGGCTGAGAACGAATACCAGATAAGTGAAAAGTTACTTTGAAAACTAGGAATGCACCAGCATGTACCACCAACATTAAAGTTAAAAACTTTTTTCTTCTATACAGCTACCATTACAGAGATTTTGTTACATCAGGGACAAGATGCAAATGTAAATGTTAGACCTAACATAAGGCCTAAAGCACTGACGCAAGCAGTATTAACCTAGCTCACCTCCAGGAATGTCCCAGGCTCCACTCTCTCCTGGGGAAAGTGGCCTGACCTGGGGCCGATATGCCCTGACGTTGGGCAGCACCACCTTGTCCATGTCCACAGACAGCAGCTTCTGATGCTTCCAAAGGTTACTGCAAAGACAACAGTTAGATCAGTGAAGTCCCTTCCTGTCTGTCAGACCCTGCTGTTATGAGTGGTGCGGGTGGCACGCTTACTGACCTGGGAGCTGTCTCGTTGAGTGGCTGAGGTTTGGCCCAGGACAGGTGAGGGCAAGCAGGCAAAGGGCGAGGCTTGGGGTCACCCAGGTGGGCCTCTAGCACTTTGGAGTAGCGATAGAGGTGATTACCTGAAGAAAGTGACATGACAAGTTTGACTCTTCAGGCGTCTAAGTGGGTCCATCTCTTTAGCTCCCTCTCTTAACTACATAACATGGTAGCTTCACAGAAGTTAGTGAATAAAGACTGAGAAACAAACTGAGTGCGACCTAGATAAATAACACGAAAATGTGACATCAGGCATAAAAACTCCTTCTGCAAAATATGCCATTTCGAACAATAAACATACAGTTCACGTGAATCATGTAGACTTATTGAATTTTAGCAAAGGGCAGAGAATTGAGAGAGAACTGCTCGTCTCCCAGTTTCAGCACAGCAGCAGTTCATGGTCATTATTCAGCCAACCAACAGATTTAGTATTTAAATGTATAGTGTTAAACTAAATGGAAGCTGGTTATCTTTTGTCTAAAAGTTGATTTCTGTGGACTGGTGTAACGACTATGAGAGCTTAGTGGCCATCTACCAATTATATTGCAAGTGGCAATTATCGGGTGCCAAGTATTACACGCCATTATAGAATATACAGAATACAAATGATGATGTTTTTAAGAATGGCCTCTATTTATAATAGGTATGGGTTCTCAAAATTCTCCAAATTTCTTACAAACTGACCTTTTTGACATTTGTATGGTATGAAACAGATTAAAGAAGTCAAAAATACCTAGAAAACAGATTTTGAACATGACCAGTATTTGCACCTCAGTAAACTGGACCCCCTTACAGGGCAATGGTTTCGGAACTTGTCACCCTTTTCACTGCTCATAATGTTTTTTTGCATCAAAACTACATACACCAGACACAACACCATTTTTTTCCAATGTGGTTTGAGGTGAACAGGCAGAATGTCTGCAAGTGCAAGAAGAAATAATTTGCTCCTCAGTATAATGCCAATGACACTGGGTAAGCGACTTTTCATTTTGGAAAAGTAAAAATAGCGCAGAAAGTTTCACCACCTTATTCAGCAGCAGAAACTTTGTGAGTGTTTTCACATAGAGCTTTGATGCCAGTAGTCTAATTTGAGTTGGAGATACTAGCACTACATACAACGAAGCAGAAGTCAAACTAATCCATATGACGTCTGTCAAAATGTCCTTGTTGCTGGAACACAGCTGATCCATCATCTTAGTTGCCGCCATGACAGCGTCAGACACAACTATGGCAGGTCGAGTGAGTTTGCGTCACCAGTGGAAGTTTCCACAAATTAAACAGAGGGCAAATATAAAAAATTATAATAAAATAAATTTTCTACATTTCATTTTTGCATTTTGAAAAATCATGCTTGGTGTGCTAAATGTCATCACTAATACAGGTATCCAAACCAATTTATTGATGTCCAAATAACTTGCATATCGAACTTGTTGGGTAAAGGCCTTAATTCACTCACTTTAAAGGGTGAATGAGAACTACATTCAGGAACAGTTATTTGATGCTACAGTCCTGCAAACTTACCTTCAAGCCTCTCTGGTAGGGGCTTGTCAGTGCCTGTAGGAGGTGTCACTTTGTTCTGTGAGTGCAGAAGGCTGGGCGGAGTCACGCCATAGGATGTGTACTGCAGCAGAGCATCTAACAGCCAGAAACAATCTGTAGACACACATGGAAAATGCAAGAATCTGAATAGGAGCATAAATTATGGCCAAATCAAGTACATTTTCAAGATACAGTATACAGTATGAGTGACACATTTTAAAAGGAAGACTGACTGTACCTTTCTGTCTGTGACTGTCGTCTATGCAATTGGAGTCTCCATATAGTGCAATGCGTCCTCCTCCTTCTGAGGGCGTTTGGTACAGTCCAAGCACAGGAACGTTGTCCACCACCGCTGTATCTTGCTTCAAGACTTCTAGCCCTAGAAATGGAAGACACAGGCAGAAAACGAGGTTTGGGTTGTCTACATGTGTTTATATGATAGATACTGAAGAAAGAGAGACGCAGATAATGACTTGTATCCATGGCAACAGTAGTGAGGCGTGCAGGAAGAGTGTGTGCCAGTTACCTTGATCTTTTAAGGTTTGTGCAATAACAACCCCGTCTTCCGGAAAGCGTGCAATACTACAGCCTGAGGCATAGTACACTAACAGGAGGGAGAGAAAGAAGAAATATGTTACATATTAAAATGGAAGAATACACTGTAACACCCAGCTGTAGCTGTACACATTCTGATACCCACTAATGGCTCTCCAAAGTCACAGTGCATTTAAATCCCACTGTGGACATGTATTTACTTATATGGCATAGCTTAACTATTCCTGAAAGTGATTGTTTTGCTTTTTGGTTTGGTTTGCTTAAGCAGTAGTGGTTTTAATATTGTTATTATATACAGCTAAACCGATAAAAGAGAAAATATGTTGTAAGTGAAATATTACTGTCATGGTCTGCCATTGTGAAGTCTCCCTCATAAAGCCCATCACTAAAGGCCATCCCCCACACAGAGATGAGGTCATTCAGGGCTGGTATATTGGCGCCCCCTGTGTCTGGCATCCACCATTGCCTGTAAATGAAAGCATACTGCTATAGCACAGGCATCAAGAGTCTTCACAGCTGCCATTCTGTACAGCCCCAGGAGATAGAGACAGAGGTTAACTAAAAAGTTTACTGATGTTTATTAAAACATTTTGGTGACATCTTTGCCCTAAAACACCAACTAAACCATTAGCTGTCAACTGATGAGTTTAATCAAGCATGTTCCTCTACCACTAGAACAGTTTCAAACAGAACCATTAGAAAACGTATCTGTGGCCAAAATAATATTAATACAGACAAGAAAAAAAACTAAATTTTATGATTATGCTAAACCAGGTTATTTTTATAATCAATCAGCCAAAAATGGACGTGACCCATCTTCTAGGAACAGTGCAGAACATCTGGTGATCTACAGAAGTGGCACAGGATTATTAATGCACTGATCAGTGTCTCCTTATATTGAGAGACTGACAAGAAGGACAAAGATAAGCAGTGGTACCTGGTATTTTCATCGTAGAACTTGACCTTCCTCATGACTGAAGTGTTGTACCAGTCGCTGAAGATGATAAGTGACAGGCCATTATCTATGTCCCTCCGCAGCTTAGTGATCTCCTCTGGGAAATACTCCTCCTCACTGTCCACCATCAACAGAGTCCCTGCATTTAAATATGCAGAGGACATCTTATTCAACTAATACAAGCTGAAAAGACTCATTGTTTCTCAGAGCTACTTATGGTTCGCTAATCACAAGCTGAGGTAAAATCGTAACCCTTACCATATTGACTGGCATCAAAACATGTGATGGGTGAACCTAGAACTTCAACAAAGTAGCCCATACTTCTAAGGTGCTGGTACATGTCTCTGAAGTTGGTATGGATGTGATCGCCATTCCTTCAGAAACAAGCATATAAGAATGGATTTACTGACAGAAATATAAGTAAGCACCTAAGGTAAAGAGGAAATAACCAAGAAGAATTTTACAAAACAGTTGATTTTTTCAAACTTTGCATTGGACAAACCATATGTACAAAGTAGTACTGTTCTCATAACTCACATTTAGAAAAATTTTATAAATGTTAGATGTGAGGGGCATGAACTGACCAGTCAAGTGGGTCATTCTTCATCCGCAGGTTGTCTCGGGGGAAGTAGCCGGGTGGGTAGCGCAGGTTGTGGTACTGGTCCCATAACACTCTCTTACTGCGAGGAGGAGTGGGCACAATCTTCACTTTCACTGGGAGCTTCACTGTGGAGGTCATTTCCCCTCCTACTGCAGACTACACAGACACAAGAGTCAAGAGGGCATATGCTGCATTTTTACTGCTCTGAACATTTTCAAGTACACAGTGACACTGCATGGCTATCCTGGAAATTAAAACACCTGCTCTCTGGTAGGTAGAGTGCAAGCATTTAGACTTTCACTCACGTCATTCTCTGCAGGTGAGGCCACAGTAAGCATCACGTGACCCTGAGCGATTCCCTCCCAGGACGCTGCTTTCTTGGCCACAGAAATGGAAACGGCCAGGTAGCCAGCCCAGGGCCACAGCACTGGTGAATAGGACACAGCCACGTCTATATGGTCCCCATTCTGGGGCAGGTAGGGCTGCCAGATCGGCTATTGAGGGGAAAACAGGTACAGATCATTAGTCAGGGAAACTTTCATGAAGTTGTAAAAAATTAAAGGATTTATCCCAACACCATCATCATAAAACATCAAAATAGCTCAAGCGTATGCACATGCAAAAAATGTAAATAAATTGGATGGAAATGTGTGTCTGAGAAGGATTCAGTTCTGCAATATGAATTGCAAGTAATAGCCCACTAATGCTCAAAAGTTTGGAATTAAAGCTCCTTTGAATCAATGTTTTCAATAAAACAACCAATTCTGTGTGAGACACATGTATAAAATAATTCTAATTTGTTGGTACTATGCAACATCGGTTTCAAGCAATTGTAGGAAGGTTTAAACAAAAATAATTAAGAAATTTTAGGAGCTGCAGACGAGTACAAAATGATTCAAAGAGCAGTACAGCATTAAGAATGCTATCAAGAAGATGCTATAATACAGAGTGCTTTTTTCACTAAAGCTATAATCAAAAGATGGATAATTGAGATGAGAAACTACTATAAATTGGTCATTATCGTTACTTATACACCATGTAACGTCTTGTTCCCAAAATACAACAACCTAATAAAACAACAGAAACTAACAATATGACAAGTAATTCCGAATATCTGAGTAGTAGTCTAAGTTGATCAAGATTACTGACTGACTTTTTGTTGTTTTCACATGTTCCAAGCATAGTATCTTACCTTGTCTACAATCCTGCCAGTCACACCCATGCCATTTAGGATGGTAACGTTGACTATGGTTGGCATGCCACCATAGTAGATGGGCTGGGAGCAGTAGGGCCACATGTAGGGGCACTCTGTCAGGTCTATGTAGCTGGGACTGAGACTAGAATAAAAAGCCATTAGACAGCAAGTCAGACAGAGGGACAGCAGAGGGCACTATTAGGGCTGAGAAGCTACAGATCATTTGCTTCATTGAGTTGGAATGCAAGGTTAATGAACTGGATTCAAACTAGAATACTGAGTGCACTGACGTGATTAAAAAGCATGCTGGAACAGTGATTTGGACACTCTGCCTTAACACTAATGGCTTGGGTAGTGCACATGAATAACAAATAGCGTTGCTATGCTACCTGAACAGAACGCAGGGGGAAGGGAGTGCATAAGTGAGAGTTTCTGTGAGCGCGCATATCTTACCTGGCTTGCGGTCGGTAGCTGTTGAGGATCTGATAGGCTCGGAGCAGGTCCAGTTTGCCATGGCCCTGCTCAAACATGTTGACTCCAGGCAGCCTGCGTGCTGATGCGATCAGAGCCTGCTTCATACTGGCTGGATTCACCAGCTCTCTGTTCAACACCGTACTGAGAAAAAGAAAGTGGATTGAGACAGACAGAGAGAGACAGACAGAGAGAGACAGACAGAAGGACACAGACAAATAGAAAGTGAGAGTGGTTAGATATTAACAATCAGTGACAAATATCAAAGAGAACAGTTCTATATATTGAATTCATTTGACCAAGGGCAATACTGTTTAAGTGGAAACGAACTTCAACTTGAAGGAAGGACTCTGACTGCCCAGCAATGAAGAAGGGCAGGTGGGCAGGGGTCAAGCACCTCTGAGAAGCAAGAAATGAGATCAGGAAAGAAAATGGAGGTGTGGGGTGCAAAGCCATCAGACTACTGCAGTCCTATTTCATTTTAAGGGGTGACCTACATAAAAAAGGGCAGAGAGAGACAGCAGGAAAGGGAGAGTGCGAGAGAGCATGCCAGCCTTCTCCCGAAGGGAGAAGAGATTGATTGTGTTAATTCACCCTATCCTTGTTCTTTTTGACTTCAGTGCCACAAAGGAAATCTATCGACGATGTATTGGTCCCGCAGGAGCCCGTGGGAACAAATGGGGCATCGGGCCAGAGACAAACCACCTGCTTCCTGCCTGCTTCTTCAGCTCAATCCATGGACACTTGTGGCCATTTCGTCAGGGACTCTCTGCAGTATCAGAGCTGCTAGAAACTTATACTATTGACTTTCTCTCCTAAATTAACAAACAAAACAGACAGAGCCCTGTAACGGACCTTGGGTTTGAGCTCTTTGTTTGTGCTCGTTTTTTACAGCCAGTTTTGTTTATTTCATTGGTTTGTCTCCTTTCTTATTTTTACATTATAATTACTTTGCTGATTTTAAATGATCTCATTAGTCATTTGTGAGCCGATGTGTCCAGAGTTTCAAAGAAGGCTTCATTTACTGAGTTCAGTCCAATTTGTCATTCTAGGCTGCCAGATTAAGGAGCAAAAACATTTTACAGGGTTCTGGAAAGATGTTTACCTTTATGCCTGAACCAAGAGACTTACACACATGCAAAATCATGAAGGCTGGCAAATCACCCAATATTGGTACTATGAACACTGAGTAGTAGTTTCTTTTTCATTTGCGAGCTTGATACAGGGGAAAACAAAAGAATACAAAGAACTGAAAAGCAAACACAGACAAATATCCATTAGGCTGCATGCGTGGTGTGGCCCTGAGCAGTGGGTGGTTATCTCCAGACAGTGATTGTCTGGCTTTAAGACCAGCACAAAATGATGACCCAAAGGAAAGTTGGGCTAGAACGAGTAACAACAGCAATGCTTTTACAGCCTCATTTCCCTTCTCCAGCATGAACACAATGTCTCTGACTGTGTGAAAGAAGAGGGAAAAAAAAGCACTTCACAAATTCAGTAGGAGTGTAATCTGTACTTAAATTTCACCACCCTTCCTATCTCTGTTCTTTCCAAAGTCGCCTATTTTAAAGACATGCTTTGGAAACAGCTTGTCGATTCAAAACAGCTTGTGGATCAAAAGAGAAGGGATAAGAAGGAAAGCTTTTATTTGTGTTGGCGTGTTTTACCTGGCAAGCAATGTGACAGCGCCAGCCACCACGGGGGAGGCCACACTGGTGCCGGACAGAGAGCGGCAGCCCTCTTTCATCCCAGAGCCACGCACGCCAGAACCATATGTCACAATGTCAGGTTTTACCCTGCCATAGCCGCCTGGTAGTTCCTGGAAAAGAGTGCAAGACATAATAACCATGATATTCTAACAGCAGGGGTAGGCAATATAAGCTCAAATTTATATCACAGTATTTTCCCCATCTCCTACATCACATGATGTTATACCAATTATTACTGTTATTGTGATCATCATCACCCCACCATGATACCCATGACACAGAAAAAAACTTTAGTATGGGAAACTAATACACCAGTATTCTCTTTTATACTGCTATATCTCTCATCCTAACAACACTCACAGAATGAGAGTGAAAACAACCTAAATTAAGTTAAATGTGGAGCTGAACCAGTAACACATCATATAATCCCATATTCTAGTGTCATACTGTTTCAACAACAATATACATACTGTAAAATGATTGTGGATATGGCATGGGCCTAAATTTTAGCTATTTAACCTGAATCACTGGCACCGGCATGACAAAGCTAATCTGTGAAAGAAAATCCTTAAATTAAGCAGTGAACAGCAGTAATACATCGCTGTTCCATTTCTATTATTCTGTTGTACATAAAATAATTACTAAAGACGACCCCCCAAACTAGACAATATGGCTGTTCACTAGTCCAATCCAGGGCTCAAGTACGCCTCAATGCTTTCTGCTTCCGGACAACCAAGAGTGCTTTGAAGTGTGCACAAATCTCAGACTACAATCTACACAGCTTTCCTGTGGGTGAACAGGATAAAAGAGTGGCTCTACAGATCAGACGCTAAGTGGTATACATCTGCCCTTTCTAGGCTAACTCAAATTCTGTGGGCATGCACTGACAGGACCCTCCACATGATTTCAGCAGATGGCTGCAGTTCAATGGTGTTGCTGTAAAACAGGACATACCCATGTTGTCATACCCCGGGAGGAGAACCTGGCGATATTGTCTTCAAAATCAATCCCTCCAACCCCAATCACGTCCATCTGATCGGCCGGGTTGTTTAGAGTGCTGTAAAAATGACATGCAGAATTAAAACTTAGCACTAAAGCTGTCTTTACAACAAAAAAAACATACATAAAAACTCATGAGCAGTAAAGAACGCTCCGGCAACACTTTAAGGAGAAAACTGTATAAATTGTATTGACTAACATGAAAATTCTTGTGCAAATACAAGTCTAAAAACTGTATGTCTAAAAACTATATTTTTTAATTTAATTTTAATTTTTGTTTAAAAACAAAATTTCTATACCAAGGTCCAAAGGCTAATGTGTATTTGGCAGATGCGCCTTTTGAGACCCCACATCCATTACAAACCAAGGTCACTTTAAAAACTTTTCCCATCATTTGTTTTCTACTAGTTCCATAATAGCACGCAGTGGTTGGACCCCAATAATCACCACTTGCAATGTAATTTCTAGACCAGTGGTCATCAACCCTGGTCCTGGAGATCTACTTTCCTCTGCAGTGTAGTTCCAACCACAATCTACCACAACTGGTCTAGCTACTTAACTACTTCTGAACTCCTTCACTGGCTGGATGAGATAAATTAGTATAAGTGCGGGCAAATTTCAGACAAAAACCTTGATGAAAGCTTATTGTTTTGGTTTTTAACAATGATAATTTATTCATTTTAACCTTTTCTTGCTGTTCCACTGTTCAAAAGTTACTGAACAAAGAAATCTGAATATGCGAAAATGAAACTTCACCTTTCACAAATCGTAGCTCTCTTTTTAGGTTTCAATAATGTTACCTTAGTTCTTATTGACCCATAACAATTAAATACTATATAAATAGTTTTTTTGAATAATGAGTGCGAACTGCTGCTGTGCTGTGTTTGTGGAGGGGGGGATTCTCCCTCAGAACTCCCTGACGGCAGCAGAAACAGTAATCAAATGTACATGATTAACATAAACAGCATATTCATCATTCAATATGGTGAATAAGGTGACAAGTTTGTATGTGCGAGAAACAAACATAGCCTAGATTGAAGCAGTCCATGTGTATGGTTTCATTGGTTAAGTTACTTACCCATAGAGTGGGCCATCGTTTCCAATGGCAGACACCATGATCACTCTGTTTGCTGTGAGTTCCCAAACCTGTGGCAAAGCCAGAAAGGGTTAATGTTTGCGCATTGCTTTATACATGTTTATGAAACACTGTGTGCTTCATTTTCTATGGCCTTCAGCATGTTGTGACTGAGCTTCGGAGGCACTTGTCTAACTGCCATGATGTTCTTTCTAGAAGTACTGATACTGAGCTAGGCTGTGAAGGTTATCTGCTATCAGGTTAGGTATGCAGCGTACATCAACCATGCTTTTGTTTAGAGTTTCATCCAGGACAATCCACTGAATAAAATCTAAAAAAGATTGTGTTGCTGGGAAGTGATTTACTGCTCCTAGACGAACTGAAAATCCCTTAAACACAAACAAGCAGGAGACCACAGTCACAATCCTGACGATGACATCAAACCTTTGGGCTCTATGAAGGATGAAATACTAAAAGGAGATTGATGTACCTTATCCACAAACGGATGGTCCATGAAGTCTGGCCCTCCAATGCTGAGGTTTAAGACATCAATCTTCTTCAGGATGGCATAGTTAAAAGCATCCAGGAACCAAGAGGTGTAGGACACCTGAGAGAAAGGTTCAGTCAGTCTTATATATGAGCATGTGTCTCATTCAGATTTATACCTTTCCTCCCTCCCTTAAAGGAGCCTTTCAGTTTTGTTATGATTATGTTAGTATCATGATATATGATGTCCCAATCTCTTTCTCTTCAGGTGCAGAGTTTCCTGCAGCGTATTACAAGCACAGGTCATCCATTCACAGAGCTAGCACATATACTTGCATCATACAGTCACTGTCTCAACAAAAATCTCCAAAATGGTAACTTTACAGATTAGGGAAGAAATATTCTTAACATAATAATGTAAGTTAATGTAATGTAAGGTGATGTAACAAATATCAGTGATATATCAGTTAATTGAAATTTTGACACAATGCAAACAAAAGCTGACTTTTTCAAATGCAGAATGTAAAAAAAAGAATAAATAAACAATAAATAAAATATTAAAAGAGGACAGACAAGGGTTCTGCTCTGACAGAAGCAATAACCCTAAACATACTTCAGTGTAACTGAACACAGCCTTGAACGTTTGTCCTGAACACTTCTGTGTACTCGATCAGGAAAAATGTGTCCTGTCTTGGTAAATATTAGTTCCTATATATTCAAACAATACTAAATGTTTAAAGAGTGTTTAACATAAGTATTTTTTAAAAAAGTGTTTAAAACAATTTACATTCACTTTTCCAAGGGAAAGGCACAAATTATAACTTAATGACATTTTAAATAGAAAATTTAAATAAAAAATGTATGGAATCTAGACAGGGCATACAGAGTCAATGCAACTTAAAAATGCTGCAACAGAATGTGCTACAATTATGTTCCCTAACTAAAGTTACTGAGGTACTCTTGAGGGTACAGTTTATTCCTGAGAGTGCATCATATAGATTACATTCACTTCATTTATCACATACATGTCATTCATTCTCAACTATTGGGCAGCACAAACAAAAATTTGATAGAGAACTGTAAAAACATAAGCTGCGGAGCATCAGTGATCCAAGAAGAGTGCAGTGGAAAATCTATTCATTTTTCAAGCCACAGTGCAGGGATGGACTGATGTAAACTTTTATAGAAAACATATTTTGGAATATTTGAGAAAATGGGATTTTTTTGATTGATTTTTTTTTAACAATTGTCCAACTCCCTAGGAAATACCACCATCACTTATGGGTCAATTATTTCAAATCAAAACTTTGTACATATACAGTCATAAGCAAAAGTTTAGAGGCCAAATTACATGTTTTGTTAATTTTCTAAGTGAAAATAAGTTAACACAACCTCTACAGGGTACAAACTTAAATATGGTATTTTCTTCTATTTTTAGTGCATAATTGCTATTTACTTGCTGAGTTTAACATGCTGAGGGAAAAAAAAACAAAAAAAAACAGACAAACTTTTGGACGGGCTACAATTTTTGTTTTTTCCTCCCAATATTATATATGTTAATTCTGCAAATAAAAAGTAATTGTGCATTAAAATGTACAGAAGTGAGTTCTCTGTTTTCTGAGGATATATTTCCACGTAGAAAAAAAAAAAATCAATAAAACATGTGATTTGAAAAGTGGCTCCCAAATGTTTGCATACAACTATAAGCACTCTATAATCCTTTTGTGAACTAAACTATTTAAAAAGCTCTTTTAGGGTACTGCAACAAAGAAAAGTATAAACAGTGAACACTGCAGATTAAAATGAGGATAATTTGGCCACAAAATGCAAAAAATCAATATAGGGTGAGTATATACCTGGTTGTTTGTGAACACTCTGAAGATATGCAGCTCAGAGTCTGGAGCAAAGCCCTGGCACTCCCTCATGCTGGCTATGACCCCAGCCACAAAGGTGCCGTGGCCCAAGCCTATATAGACAAATTCATTATAAAGAGAGCAGACAACTTGTGGTAATCTCTAAACTTCTGTGCCAAAACAATTTTTACAAGGTTTTACCATCATCCAGTGTCTTCTCATTGGTCCAGTTGGTCCTCTCTTTAACATTCTTAAAGTGTGGGTGCTTCTCACTAAGTCCAGTGTCAAAAACAGCCACCTTCACTCCTGAGCCTGTAAAGAAGTCAAATATCATAAGGAGCTGGACTGAAATTAAAACCTGTATACTGAACCTGTAATATCACACAAAGGAACAATGGTGCTGCCAGCCAACAGATGCAGATAGGTGCCTTCATTGTTTTGCATTCCAGTGAGAGTAACAAAATCTAGTTTTTCTTTACAAAAGACATAAAAACACTCACCTGTGTGGCCCATTTGCCAGAGCACATCAGCCTGTAGTATCTGGGCTACATGGCGGGGGATGGCCCTGAGCAGGCGGCGACTGGAATGGCGGCCTGTGGCGTGCCAGAAGCCTGAACTGAGAGACAAACTGGTTCTCCTCAGTGGTCGAGATGACTGCCATGACTGCCACTTTTGCACCCACCGTGTGTCATTACAGGAGGAGCTGCCATCACTTCCTGCTGATGAGAATAGGAAAAGGTGGACAGAAAAAGAAACAGAAAGACAGCAGAAGAAGGTAAAATGATAATGCTTCATACAAACCTAGAAAACAAAGGCATGTTGCATTAAAAAGTTCTATGATTGCACATAGAGGTAGATCTGCACTGCCATTCAAGCCACCAAGCCATTCAAGAATTTGCGGCCAGAGTTACAGAAGTCTGTTACATTATATTTACAATTAACAAGCATGAGTCCATAAAAAACTAAAACCAGTCAGCTGTTGCGTTTTGTTGCACATGCTGTTTTTTATTATACCAGTTAAATCAGGGAACGATGTGAAAGGATCCACTTTTTTCACAATATGGTCAGCCAAATTTAAGATTTTTATCACTTTTTAACACTGTTAATCAACCACTAACAAGTTATACCCAGTAAAGAATGAACTCGCGGTGCCTGCCTCTAATGGAAACTGACAACACGCTCAAAAGAACATCACATTCTTCTGAAAACCATACTCCAGCCACATACACTCACCTCTGAAATAGGGCTGAAAGATTGTTTTTTGTCAAAATTGCAGAAAGATTAACTTAACTTAACACAAAGCTCAAGTCTTTTGGCCAAAGTAACAGCCCTGGAACAGGGATGTGCATTCTTAAATAACGAAAGATGGTAGGCTTACTTTTTTAGGTAACAGCACAAAATTATAATAGGATGCAGAAAAACATGTCTTATTATTCAGAAAACTTTGGTAGGTATTATGCTGTACAAGGAACGGAGGCCTCTTCTGATAAGCTAATGAGCTAAACGAGCTAACCAGAGTCACACTGGATGTGCTCGGGTCACAGGACCTGCGCTTTTAGTGGCGGGACAAATCAAAGTTCAGGACAAATGTGAAATGTTGTGGCCAGAGGCACCGGAAAGTTGGCAATGTCTACCCCTGTTTGAATATACTTAAGAGCTTTAGCTTGATTAATGACTCCACCTCTATTTACCTACCTAAACAAAATCAATCAAGGCTCTGCATTTTAAATCCAATTTACTATTCACATACACATTTTCTCCTCTGCAACCCAGAGCTCTGTACAATCCTCCCAACAGACAGGTGCAGGGCAGGAAAACAAATCACCTCTTATTACACAGCTGAAAGGTTAAACATTGAATTAAATGGCGATGATTGCAGAAAGGCTCGTTCGATGATCAACACAGCACATTTACCAGCCCAGGCATTTGTGGTATAGCTGCAATCAAAGGGTGCCACTATAATCATCTCCTGAACAATAAATGGAAGCCCATGACAAATTAGCATTTCTCTGCTTGCTTCACTGAGCCCATGCAGTGTAACTGATTGGCTAATAGATTCTGCTGCTCTCAAAACTGTCTCTTTCTAAGCAGCTCCTAAAGCCACTGTGGAACAGGGAGACAACAGTAATTCAACCTTGAGGCACAATTTGATGCTTGTGTAAACACAGGCAAGCATGGAAGGAAAAAGCTCTTTTCATGCCATGTTTTAATCCAGTACAGAGTGAGGGAGTAGGCATCAAGCGGGACCAAACCGCCATGCTAATCATCTCGAGCGGCACTGACAAGACTGGCAGCCTCTCTTCCCAAGTACTGCACACTGATTTTGCACAGACGTGCCCAGAGGAGAGCCCTCCATAAACTATAATTGTATTAAATTCGAGTCTCCCACGCTCGCTCTTACAGAGTCGGCCCTGTTGCAATTTAATGATAATTACTGCTCCCATGTCCATCAGACACCGACCAGAGAGCCGAGTGAAGGCCACTTAATCGTTTCTGTAGCGTGTTCCTACTGAAGCGGCATGACTAGCCGCTATTAGCCAGAGCGTTTTATAATGAGAGTGGGAGGTGTGTAAGAGTGCACTGCAGACTGATGGACTAAGGCATAAGAAAAGAGTGGTTTGTTCATGTACAACTTCTCTAAGGCCCTTAAGCACATTTGGATTTTAATGAACACCAAAATATGTAAAAGACCGGCAATGTTTCTGCGAGACTTGTGTAAATCTCTGACCTCACAACAATTTACAATCACAGTTCTTTAGGAAATTATTCAATGTGTCATTAAATCTGAAGTTTCAACATGATTCGATTAGAATTAAAAGATTCCATAAAATTAGTGCATACTTTACTGATTATACAGGTTGCAATGTGATGACATTTATTGTTGCCATGATAAATTATATGAAAATACAGAGAGCATAATAAGTCCTGTATAATTGCATTCAATATGTGAAACTGAGTAAAAACCACTGTATTCAATTTGACAATACATTTGTTTCAACTGATCAGATGTTAGAAATACTAAATATCGTGACGCATATTGTGTATCAAGAAAATGTCTTCATATATAACATATATTTTTGCCAGCCCTATCTATTATTATTATACCAATTATAACACCTTCCTAAATTCCAAAACTGGTCAATCACCAACTTCAGATAAATGCTTCACAACTGCAGCAATGCATTTTTACACCCCTGCCACAAATGGGTCTTGGTTTGAATGTGGGTGTGAAGGTTGGGTGTTGGTTTGTAGGTGGGCATTGGTGGGTGGATAAACACAGTTTAGGGGCTCCAAAGCCTCTTTACAACAGCTGCAGTCTGACATGTTAGTGTGACTTCAGCCTGGGTGTGGGGAGGAGTGCAGGCAGGGCAGAGACACAGCATTCTTTCACTGCTGACTCCTCTGGGGCCACTCCCTCCAGTATGAGCCACTGATAAAAAGCCAGTGTTCTGTCCGCCCCCTGCTGCTGTCCCCAGGGTGGCGCAGAGGGTTCTACTTCGCCTGACCAGAACTGTTACCAACCACTGCCTTCAGTTCAAGTTAAAAACTGAGACAAAACACTAGTTTAAACTATGCATATGTGTATCTGTGTTCCATGGGCTAAAGATATTGGCAGACTTTATATACCACTTTCCAGTTGCCTTCCAGTAGGAAAAAAGAATGGAAGCTAAAATTTGAACAGACAACAGAAAGAATACATACATAATGTGAGAACAATGGGTCATAAGTGCATGTGGGCATTTTGTTGCCTACAATGTGTTTGTTATGTTGACAAAACATGTCAAAATAGATTTAATTCTCAAAAATTAATACTTATTTAAAATTTTCATTAAAAGTTTGACTGGATTTGCCTTCACAAACACATTTCTTTACATAGAGTTCCTGAGAGGACTGAGGTTGAAGCTTCAGCATCGCTATGAAACATGCATTAACTTAGCCTAGTTATTTATAGTGGTCTTAGCTGATAGTTGATAGTGGTACTTGAAAGCAACATGCCATTAAGCTTGACACAATGGAGATGTTACACTTTGCACTGGAGCATTTGTTGTTATCAGATAATGTCAGGGATGTACGTTTACACACTATTAGCAATACTGACCCATAAAAACACTATGTTCAATAATTAGATCTGAAAACACCTGACAAATACCACTACAAACATTTAAAATAACATTTTACAACATCACAACATCAGTTAAAAACCCTATGCCTGAGAGATGAGGACCAGTTTGGACCCATTACTGCCAGACCTAGTTAAGGGAAAAAAGGCATTTTGTATTTTCTATGTTCTATGTTACAGGTCTTGCTGGTTGACATTTGTCAATGATTAATTGCTAACTTTGTTAACATTAGCAATAACTGAACAAGGAAATTCCCTCAAATTTTGCAGACCTAGGCCTTTGCAGGTAACAGAGCCCACTTATTTGGGTAACTGTGCGGAAAATATTAAACCAGTTAAACCAAGGTTTTTTTTTTTTTTAAATAGCTTTGCTTTAACTTCGTCCCCCCAAAATATAAACGTTACTTTACATACACAACAATAATAATGATAACAAAACAAAAAAAAACTAAAATTGTCCAAAAAAAGAGCATAACAAAAGCGCAGCTTAAGTCGTGGTTGTAGTTTTTCATATTTGATTACATATCTAAGAAACTTAGTCAGAAAGAACAGAATTAAGAATGATTTTACTCCTGAGACCCGAAGCCATTTTATCTGATGTTTGAAATGCTGTGGTGTGAGGATGTCGTAAAATGGATGTAATACCAGACAGGTGGATTTTTTTTAGGCTGCCTGCCGTAATCAGTGTGCTCAAACAGTGCAGCTCAACAGTTGCATTTCTAGAATATTCTCATCTATGTTTGGTACAGTAAACGTGGTATTAAAGTGGGACTTCACATCATTCAACAATAAAAGTTCGTAATTTTTATGTGTAGAAATACTACTGCCTTGCTAAGGGTTACATGAAACAAATGAATAAATTAACAAGTTGTTTGTGGTAAATGAGTTTTAAACTGTCAGTGGGAGCTATTGCTATGGTAACCTGGTTAACTATCACAGGGCACAGGCCTCTCTGGGAATATGGTGTACATCTGGAGTGACCACAGTAAGGACTAAGGCTGTCTAAAACTATTTATTTAAAGATGAAACCCTACCACTGAGCAGTTTGAGGGTGCGGAAAACCTTGCGCTGGGGTGTGACTCTCTTGATGTAGGGGTGGTCCTGCAGTGTGAGTAGGCTGCTGCGAGCATCCTGCCGGATCTGCACCACCTCGAAGTCACTGGGGTAGTCACTGGCCGGGTTCTCCCGCTGCACGATGCGCCAATTCTCCCCCTCCGTGTTTCTCAGGGCACTGCTGATGAAGTGACTGCGGGCTTTGGCCGTAAAGTAGCCGTTAAATGCTACGATGTACTCTGGAAAAGACAGTAGACGTTAAAAACGCATCAGCATACTGTGTTCGACATGCAGTTGAAATATTCTGAATGAAACAAACTGCATGAGCTGTTCACTGAGCCATAAGTTAGTGAACCAGAAATCAGAGTATTATGCATTCAGTGATCGACAATATGAATAAGAAATTTATTTCTATACATTTCTCATGAAACGACTCAGACTTACTGTCACTGTTGACTTAGACACCTTTTATTTACCTTTTGATTTTACTTGAACAGACTGTATACTCAGCTACTGGTGTTTGAAGACCACAAGATCACCTTTCTGTTTGGGATTATGTTACCAAATGATACAATTTGCATGATGCTTATACACAAGAAGTTGTGGTTTGACATTTGGTATGTGAATGTGCACTGAAGACTACAAAATTGCTCAAAACCTTTGCAAGTCGACTAAACTAAAGAAAACCATAAACAAAAGCCTTAAACAAGCAATAGGGCTTGAAAATTTGAGCCCATGAAAGGAAGTCTTTCCTCAAGGGGCAAGGTAAGCAGAGATAAAATGTCAACTCATCTTTCAATCCATTCTGTACTACACAAACAACTACAGCACAAAAACTGAAACAAGAACGAGAAGTTGTTGGCAAGCAAACTGGTACGCCTGGATGGGTTATGAAAAGCACACGTTCCTCAACCAACTAAGTACATGCAATTCATCGCACAATACTTCTCCTCACTGCCGTTTGGCAAAATGACTTCCCTTCACGGTTCTTGTTTAGGGCTCAGAAACAGAACATTTCCAGCAGCTTTGGCTTTGGAAATGTTCCTGTGTACTGACCAAGTAGGCAAGGGAATGGCACGAGACCAATCTGCAATCTTGGACCATGGGCAGTGTCACATCTGAAGAAATGTGGAATCGATTTTCTTTGCAAATAGAATACATCAGCACACACAAGCTGCATTTTACAGCTCTGCATTTAGAAAACAACAGGAAACTGAAGTCTAGTGTCGTGAACAATTAAGAACACTAAAGAAACAATGGTGTCGTTAACTACAGAGTAACAAGATCATAGCAGTGTGAAAGCATATCAGTAACAAAATTAAAATATGTAAAACAGCAATGTAATCCTTAGTTTGAATATAAATTTTACACTCATACATGCAAGTTTGGGCTTAATGAAAATTCAAATTCAATAATTCCATTTACATTTGTCATTTGGTGCACTAGTATTGACACTTCATTTACACAGAGATTTAGATGCTTTGAGTAGCATTTTTAAAGTATTTCCAGAACTGCATATTTATGCCTTATGTGATTATACAATAATGGTTTCAAAATGATGATCGAAATGTAATTTAACATTACACATTTGCACTCTAATATTTTTTTGAAATTGCATTATTAAATTGAACACCAAACTAGAAGGATGTCAAAAATCAAATGTAAAAGGGAAACAGCATCTCTCCTGTCTGCATTACTTATTCTCACATACTGTGCTCATTCTGTGTCAAAATGCCTTTGAAAATGCATTCGACCAGATTGCATTTTCATTTTCACCGTCTTCCCAACCTGTCAATCATCTCATCAGGGCAGAGGCAACAGCACACGCAGCAGAAAAGGTTTTCTCTGGACTAATGCGACCAATCTTACATTAGAAGATTAAGTGAAACAGAGCAATATACTCACTTGTGATGTTTTTTATACACGACCCACCAAGAATCTGTAATTGAACGTGTTGCAGATTTTGCTAATTTAATAAGTGGCCGCAGTTAGAAATTATTGTCTGTGTTAGCCGACCATAGGCTACAGATAGAGGATGATCCAGCATCGAGGTCCATCTTCTAATACACACAGTGCAATTTGGATGTATTGCTGTGTTCCAATTCATCTGTTACCTGTGTAACTCATAAAATGATTTAGCTGTAATTGTACTGGTACACACAGACATGTGTAAATCACACAACCACCTTGTCATACTGGCTGAGTTGGCAACAGCCGCAGTACAGCGCCGGTACCGTGTCATTTCAGCCTAATTAAGCTAGTGGGTCTCTAATGTCCTGCTTTTTTTTTATTTGTATTACAAAATCGCTGGTATATGTGCGTGACACAGTGAGCTGGGTCATGTTAGCCAGCTGATAAAAAAACAGATGAGTGCTTTGTTTGGGAATGTAACATCAGCTAGCATTAACAGTGGCTTTTAGCTAGCTTAATTCTGCAGCCCCTCACAAATCATGTAGCATATTAGCAGGTGAGGTGATTACAGAGCAATATATCCACCTCTGATGCTCACTTGGTAGAAGATACGCCTGCATGGCATCAATTGGAAAGTCTATGTCCAGCCTCACTTTCAGCCCCCAATCTCAGTTTATGAAACGAGGCTGAAGGTAGCTTCTTTTTCGAATGTTCCACTCCACCAGTCCACACTGAGGCAGCAGAATGTAACTGCTGCACTGTTTAAGATGGACTGGAAAATTTGAAAAAGAACCTGGGAAAGGAAGCCAAGTTTAGCCTCGTTTTTATCAACCAGACACACCTCATCTGTTAATGTAAGAGCAGCTATAAACCCTTCGGCCGCCATGTTTTCAGACAAAGCTTTTCCCGCTGTCTGTGCTCTTGGCTTTGCCCTGATATAACTGACAGGTTGGGAAAAGCACAGGCGCTGTTTCCTATTTACATATGAATTTTCTTTCTAGCTTGGAGCTCTCTTTGCTTCATAATCACGTAACGCATGAATATGTAGTTCTAGAAATACATTTAACTTTGAATAAATCTACTCACAAAGCATCCAAATCTCTGTGTAAATGAAATGTCAAAACTAGTCCACCAAATGGCAAATGTAAATAGAATTACTGAATTTTCATTTTGAGCCCAAACTTTCATGTATGAAACTTAGGATTACATTGCCACTACATTGCATATTACATTTTCATTTCAATTTTGATGCCGATATGCTTCCATATACAGGGAACACTCTTCTGTTTTATGCCGACTGTTCAGCATTGCAAAATTTGAGATTTTAGATACAATTATTAATTGCATTAGACTTCAAATTAAAAAAAAAAAAATCATTAATGTTGTTTTTACTACACACACTCATTTCAGCCTATATGAAATGTAGAAAACTAATAATAATAATTCTCTTAGTGCTGACTTCATTAATCGCCAGCTGTATTAATAGTACTAAACCAATAAGTAAAACCAATCTTATAAAGTGGTGCAAATCGAAATTCAAGTTCATGCATTTTTAGCCCAAAAGAGAATAGCAGACTAAAACAACTGAAGTACAAATACAAGATGCACAGAAACAAAATAAAAGCCCTTCTGAAAGCACTTACCCCCTATAAAACCCACAGTCTATAATGATCTTCTGCAAGTGTAGGAAGTGTGAATGAATAAAACATTGGGGTTTGGCACAAAGACCATATTCACAGGCCAGTAATTAGGTCACTATAAATACCATGTTATGCTCTGGTCCTACAAGCATGGGGGCCACACACACACACACACACACACACACACACACACACACACACACACACACACACAATGAAGGCTGTCCAAGACATCAGGCTTTTCATATGGGCTTTAGAAACTTCTAAACCATAACACCATCAGTACTGTGCAGGAGGTGCAGGCCTGAAGACCCCCAGTACAGTAAATTAGCACACTAGTTTTAAAGTGTTAGCACTGAAGTATTCACAGGTCTTGCCCACAGACACAAAGAGAGGGATATCTGGGGCTTTTGCTCTGAAAACAAAATGACTGATATCACCAGGTAATTCTTTTTTATTGTGCCATAAAATGTTCTAATCAGTCAGATAAACCCAAGGCCAATTTGCATCTTATCATGTTATGGTTTACAGTGAGTTCAATGTTTAGTACAGGAAACAAAACCTTCTTCCAAACCTCTCAAACAGGAAACAATTATATAAAGTCATGCTGTTATTTAACAGGCAAACAGACGAATGAAATCTATGACATTGCTGACAGTGGTGGAGAGGGATCATAAAAAGCTTTGTGACGCTTCATGAAGAAAGTGTACGAAGTATTTAACCAAATACTTCACCAAACATCAAATACCAAATACTAGTGAGGCTAAATACTAGGGATGAGTCAGTGTTTTTGAATATACATAGCCATGAAAGTAGAAAAAAAAGCAAGTTTCATATTTTCAGTATGCAAATGAGTGTGCCCCTAGCGTTATACATTTTCATAAGAACTTTAATATGTCTGAACTCTATACGCCACCAGAAGACAGTGTGTAGCCAGCACCTTACGTGTTGTTCAGAGCTGGTATGTGGACACTAATTATCGAGTTAAAGTGATTCAGCCACAAGCATTGCTAACAGGTATATAAAATTAAGCACATAGCCATGCAACTTCCTTAAACAAACACTGGCAGTAGAAATGGTCAAACTGAAAAAGTCAATGACTTTAAAAGTGGCATTGGCTTAGGGTGCCACCTTTGCCACAATTCAGTTTGTGAAAATTTCTGCCCTGCTAATTCTGCCCAACCAGTCAAGTGTAAGTGTTATTATTGTGAAATGGAAGCGTCTAGAAGCTACAACAGCTCAGCCAACAAGCGGTAGACCAGGCAAACACAGAGTGGGGCCCCCAAATGCTAAACTGCCCATCCTCTGCCTCTGGAAGTAACATCAGCATAAGGACTCTGTGTTGGGAGCTTCATGAAATGGGTTACCATGGCCGAGCAGCTGGACCCAAGTCTAAGATCACTATGCACAATGCCAAGCGTCGGATGGAGCCATGTAAAGCATGTCGCCATTGGACTCTGGAGCAGTGGAAACACATTTTCTGGAGTGATGAATCATGCTCCTCTATCTGGCAACCTGAAGGATGAATCAGAGTTTGGCAGACTCCAGGAGAACACTACCTACTACAATGCACACTGCCAAGAGTAAAGTTTGGTGGAGGATGGATGATGGTCTAGGGATGTTACTCAGGGCTTGGGCTCAGCCTCTTAGTTTGAGTGTCTCAGACTTCATGATTTTGGTGTAATCTGTATTATATATGCACAGCTGAAAGTGTTGCTGATGGGGTGTAATTTGGGAAACATTTACTGAAATATTTAGACATTATTTCGCAAAAGCAAGCTCCTGTTTGCTTATAGCCATATACTTCCACACCAGAACCCGAGCACAACAGTAGCCTGAATATACAGATTATCAGTGAAATACAGTGTTTTGTCATGTTCATATTAAAACGCAGCTCACAATTTGAAATGAAGGTGACTGCTTTTGGATTCTCTATGCAGGAAAAACTCAGGTTTCTCAAAGAAGGTTTGCTTAATATGAACAATGATTACTTTCTTTAAATGTAACTCTCTTAATACCTTTATGCACTTTATATCTTATGCCTGAGCCTGATCAGTTCTACTTTCCTACAGCATTTTGTTCCAGCTTTAATGTTCTGATTCACTTCTGATGAACTTCTAATTCAACTAATAAAGGTCTTAATAAAAACTAACATTAGCACACAGTGTATGACAAAACTAAAAAACAACATCAAAGCGCAAGTTGGGCACTGCTGTCTTAGTCTGTGGTATTTGTGGTTGTGTGACCACAAGATGAACCCTCTGCTAATCCAAACACACTCACACACACTCAGACATGTTCAAACAGATCCTTTATCGGTGCTGTAAAATGCTAAACCCAAGGCCTAAGTTTGAGTGTCTAAAGCTACTGTACTTTTCATGCAACTCCTATATCATCAAATGGACCTCCAAATAGACAAGAAGGCTGTTTACACCTTGTATCAATATGCATTTTCAGTGATCAGATCATGTCTGGATTTCACTTGACCGCATGAAAAGGCAGGTATAAACACACCAAGGATGCACTAAAATGGGATTACGATTTCTCACTCAAATCACAGGAGGCAGTCTGAGAAAGAGCTTGACCACATTCAACACAAGTGTAAATGGAACGTGTTTTCTGTATGGGTACATCTACATAGTTGGAAATGCATCTGCCAAATGCAGACTTGCAGGTGAGAGGATAAACAAGGAAATGCAAGATTGGGAATACACAAAGCTGGAGTTATCCCCAAGCCAATTGCAGGCCGATGAAAGCATCCAAGCATGTGTTGAGGTGCTTTTAACACCGTAGAAAGTAAAAGCTGATCTTATCCGGCCACACTGGGGATGCATTTTAGTGAAAACTGTGAATGCAATCTGGCCAGAGTTTATCCAGATATGATCTCAGCATTTACCCTACAATAACACAGGCCAGGCAACCCAGCTTGGATGAGACATTAGACATTAGCATGTAACTGGCAGATTAATGTTTGTTTCCTAGTGTTCGGTTTTTATGTGGCACTCCCTGAACTAGGGGAAAAAACTATTTTTAAATTGCTTTGTATAATCTATTTACAAATATAAAGATGCACTAAATTCAGATGCCAGGTACACCACTGATCCCATCAGAGTGAGGCAGAGTGAAACTGGTTTGGCAGTGTAGTCTTTTAGCATCTAGTAGAATTTGAGAATTTCACTAAAAAGAGAGTGTTTATTTTCTGAAATATGTTAATTTGGGGTGGTTTTATCTGTTGTACTCCTGAAAAGGAAATAAATGGTTTAATAATAAAAATGTCTGCCACTTTATTGACGTGAGAGCTTCCACTGCTATGTGCAGACATAAGCAGTCAACTTCCTATAGCACTGTTCACAAAGCCTTATAATCAAATGATCTATTTGGGTTTTCTTATAGACCTGACAGTCCAAACAGTATTTAGTGCTGATACAAAATGTTGTAAAAACTATTTAGTTTTTAACACTACTCTTATACATTTCTATGAAAATATATGCAAATTATTCTTTGGCCCATTATGAACTATAAAGCACTAAGCATGTATAAATTAACTGACTATAAATTAATTCCTACAATCACAAACTTCTGGAAAATACATGTGTAGAGAATGTATAATGTTGTGTATTCACATGTGCAGCGTACTTTAAAAATAATTCTGCACAGTGATACAATACCAGCCCTCACACATTTGGTGACACTACATACACACAACAACACTGGCAGCTGTGAAGGGTCTACCACCTGACTTTAAAAAAAAAATAAAAACATCCAAGAGAAACACAGAACTTGGACATGAAACGCATTAGTGCAACGTGCAAACAGCCTTCAGCACAACTGTATAAGAATGTTTAACACCACACAGAGCTAAAAGAAAACAGGTGACTCTACTTACCGTGTTCTACTACTTTGGAGGAGAAGTCCACTTTCAGGGTGAGCTGAGAGTAGTTGGAGCTCAAGAATCCGTCAGTGGTGGTGGAAGAGGAGGGTGAGCTGGGAGTCACTCGCTCTTCCTCAGTCCCAGCCAGAGGCAAGCGCCCCACCAGCAGGGCCACAAACAGGAAGAGGCAGACTGGGGCCATGGTGCCTGCAGTCTGGTTCAGTTCATAGCTCATCCAAGGGAGTCTAAAAGTGTCAGTACCTCTTAAGTCACTGCATGAATATGGCTAAAAATGAGCAAAGGTGTCTAAAATGGTCCTGAAGATTTTGGAACAGGCTATATCTGGAACTCTGAAAAGCCTGAGTAACACATGGCTTATGTTTTCATTTCTTTCTACGTTTTCTCTCCATTTTTGGTGTCCAGCACTTGGAGATCAGTGATACGTCATACAGAGAACGACGGGGGCCATTATTCCACACAGAGAGGGAGAGCACCAAAGCAGCTAAGAAAGGACGTTCACCTAAGGGTCAGCTCTAAAAGCAAAGGAGTCTCCTTCCTTCTCCTATGGGAACAGAACACAAAACATGTCATACAAAAATTCTCATTGGTGGTTACTAAATATAGAGCTGGGCAATATGACAATATTTATCATTACTGAGATATATTACATCACAATATGTCACAATAAGCTTTTCTGAGTATGTTGTGGATATCGTCAATACTTAAAAGTATTGTAAAATCACAATTTTGCCATATCTCCCACCTCTAAAATAAACATTTAAATATCCTATAAGAAGCACTTGATATATTCAATTAATCAAGAAAAAAACAAAAGGTAATTTGTATTAGCTCTGACTAAGACATGTGTCCTTTACTATAACATCTTAGGTGTAATCACTATGAGGTTATTTCCATCATGTAGCCTGATGAAGCCATGACTAATCAAAGGTCTAGATACCGGCCAATAAAATGCATTTATGTGGGTCCTGAGATCCACAGTGAGAGGTGCAGCCTGTTCCAAAGCCCTCATTGGGGTCTGTGATTTTGCTTAGGTGAACATTTTCTGAATTTATCAAAATGTGTGGGATGTATGTGAATATGTGGAACAGACAGTTGTCAATATTGTTGCAATGTTAAAATTTTCCCCAATATTTCTGAAACAACATATTAGAACACTACTAACATGTTGAACTGTGGGATATAACACCTAGTCCAACACTGCTTAAAAACAGTACCTGAAAACACAACATAATGTGAGAAATCAAAAACCTGTTCTGTTTTTTATGCAACTTTTTAAACTAAGGAAACAAAGTAAACAAAGGACTAACATTTAATCCAAATCAGTGTCAAGTCTTGGCAGCGCATACATGCATAAAGGATACCATTTCTAATCCAATACAAAATACCACCCTCAGGAAAACTTAGAAACGGGACGTTGGTCTCACTGAAAATGAGAGCCCCCACCCAAGTTTGACTGGGGGGTTGATTTCCTCGCTAACTCTAGTGTTCATTTACACCTTAATAAAAAGCTGGAAAAGATCCAGATGGAGTCAGTCTAGGCTGTTATTGCCTGCCTCACATCCTGGAATAAAAAGGACAGCCCAAAATGTGCACAGCAGATGGGCCTTCAGTCCAGTCCTAGGTCTGAACTCCTTGATCCAGCTGGTACCAGGCCTGTAAAAATGCACAGGAAGACTACGAGTGGCCACTTTTGCAGTAGGAGGTCAAGATGATGACCAAACCAAAACTTTCAGCTTCTTAGTAAGGAATGTGTAATTGAGAACAGAATTGCTTTTCAGATGTTCTGTGTTTTTGTTAATAGTCACAGGTTTATTCAAATTCAAAAGGTAAAGGGTTTGGTAAAACGAAAAAAAAAACCAACAAACAAAGCGAGGTCCTTGGGACATTCTGAATAGACTTGCCAAGAAAAGGCCATGGCAACTAAAAACGCGAAGCAAGTATAATTTTAAAAGCCTGCTACCTAAAGCTAAAGCAGAGCAAAACCATCAGCTTCATATATGACTTAACAAAGAGTACAGTCAGCAGTCGATTGTTTACATGTGTGAAGTGGCAACCGGACACCACATTGATTTCATTAATTTACGTAAACAAACCTCTCTATTCCGACGTTTTATTAACGTGAGTAAATTTAATATTAAACCAGCTGAATTGTCGTTGGTGAATTAACACTGCAGCTGATATCAAGGTCTCCGTCAAGTCCGAATCTCTCAACGCTGTTGATGTTGTTACTAAAAAGTCAGCGAATTAAACTAAAGGATAACGTTTGTTAGCTAGCGTAGGTCATCTTTTTAACAAGACAGCATATTCGTTTGGAGTCACCTAAAAACTCACGCAGTTTCTTCGCTAACAGTGCTAACTACATCTACTACATCTGCTTAAACTTGAGCATGCTTCCCAAACAGAGAAGTTAGCAAGCTAGCTAGCAAGCTGCAGCCATTAAGACCAGTAAAGAAAACGTTAGTCTATTAGCTAGCTTACTTATCATTACCAACAACACAAAGACAGTGACTCTAGATTAGCTAAGTACTAACTTCAGTATGCTGGGCATCTGTTCATAATTCAGCAAAAGTAAGACACCATTAGTTTGAATAAATGTAAAATAAACAACGGTAGCAACTGCAGCTAGCTAGCTAGGTTAACGAAGGTAACTTGTACAAACTGCTTCAGTACTACAACAAATGCCAGCTAGGTAGGGTTACGTCGCTTGATAGCCAATTCACATATAAAAGTGCGAATTATACTTGTGTGGTTTCAGGCTGTTAATGCTGGTAGTTAAACAACTAAATCGCACAGCCATCTAAACAAACCCACGCGACCATGTTGCAGTCGATGCTACAAACTCGCAGCCAGCAGCGAAGCAGGCAAGCCTGAACACACGGGGCCAGGGTAACTCAGCTAAGCTACAGTAACATGAGCACACGCTATATACTCACTCTCACATCACGACAGGAACATTCTCCGCGATGTGGTTTAATAAATCTCCCGTCTGAAGAATCTTCTTTGTTCTCACCACACACTAACAGAGACGCCTACATGCGATCTGCTGAGGAGTTTAGCTGCTATGCTAAACTATCAATGCGTTCTCTTTGCTACTGTAACTTGAGTAACCAGTGAGCGAAACAGAAAGTAACCAATCAGCGATCGAAACGCGGAGAAACACTGTGAGTGACATCAGCTTCGTCCAATCAGACCTGGGGAGAGCGACGGGGGGCGGGACATAAGGCATTTCACAAAGACATCTGTAGTATACAACAGACTGCTCGGTCCCAAACTGACATACAGACAACATTACAAAATGCAATTAAATTTAACACATGGCTGCGACCGCTTTTCTACATTCATCTGCATTTATCGCGGCAAAACAAGCAAGTGAAACGCTGAAATGCAAAAGCATTTCCTCTAATAATATTACACTAAAATAAATTCTCTCCTGAAAAGTGATCTGAATATTAGTTGCATTCTATGTACGACCACAAGATGGCGCGAAAATCCAAACATCTGAACAGGTCTATGCCCAACAGCGCATGTTTCGTATAACGCACAAAAATGGCGCACACTGAGACATACTATCTCTTAATTTAGTTTAAATCACGCCAAAACTGAATTAAATCAACCGCTAGCGCTGAATCGCGATTGTGCGTTGCTTTCCGTTCACTTTTGTGGCGTTTATTCCGCCTCCCTGTGGTCACGAAGTGAATTCACTTTAATGTTAAAGGGGGATTCCACCGACTTTTCCAAAATTCTGCATAATTTAGAGGTTGAGGTATAAACAAAGTCATTTAGACTCAAAGTCATGTAGACTCAAATTTCCTTACAGTGCTGGTGATAGGAACCAGGGGTCCCGATGTCTACAACACAAATGTAGCCATTTTATTTACTAACCAAAACCACCAGCGAACTTGCACGTGTCTTCTGATTTTTTATATGTAATGTAAAATAGTGGAAAATTTGAAAATAATGTTTCGTTGGGGACAACTTTGCCTTATAACACCCTTTATGTACCCCTCCACCATGACTAGATTAAAATAAATTGATTAAAAACGTTTTAGGCCGAAACTATATCATAAAACTGGTGTAAAACAATGTATCAGACATCAGGCGTATGAGTATTCATAACTATTTCATGTAATAACTTTCTGTGAGGGAGCTTTTATAGGCTTCAAACACTTCAGATGTCTGGCTCCTATCACCACCTCTGTGAACAATTCTCGGCACGTTTCTCTAGAATGAAGCATTTCACACCAAACCCCTCCGATTGATTCTGTTGTTGACATGTTAACCATTTAATTACACAGAAATTTAGAAAAATTGGTGGAGCTCCCCTTTAACTGTACCAGAAAGTAAAGTGCAAATTACACTGGTAAACATTTTTTTATTTACTTGATTTAAATGTACACACTAGTTCCACATGAATAAAATATTACAGCATTGCAAATTTAACTTATTATTGGCAATAACTGTGCTGATTTAACCTATTTCATTCGTGTGGAAATGTGAATCCCTTACAGTCCAAGTTTTACAATTCCTTTGACCTTTAAAATTTCCTGAGCACAAATCACAAAGAAATGTCTTAAATCAATCAAACCATCTCATTAAAAAGTTTTTTTTCACTTATTATATCAAAATCTGTCTTGTGGTTAGTTCTGTTTATGGGATTTTTAAAGGCTAATAATAGAAAATAGAATGGGTATTGTTAGTTGTTCATCCGAAGTATAACTACACAATTTCATCACTCTAGATCACTCAGCAAGTTCTTTAGCATCATACTAAATTTAGGTGTTGGACATGAATGGGTTAACCCCTTAACATTTCAGATTTATTTCATACAAAGGCTTATTATTCAGTAACTACAGGGACTTCAATGCAAACTAAGGGAGCCATTCTTAGGGTATAGAAGTGTGTAGTAAAACTTTGGGCCCACCCATGGCTTGTTCAGGGGTTAAATTCAAAGCACCAGTATGCAGCTCCTAGAATGACAAGAAAAACTGACTTACAAAATGTGAAACCATTTAAGTTTAAATTCTTTAATTGAGACATTTGATAAAAAAAATGAGCAGATTCACTATTCTGAAAAAAAAGTTAACATGATCTATCATTATCCTTCGTTAAAACAAAAACAGACACAAACATGACGTACAAGTACACATTTTCCTTCAAGAGACAGTGTTGGAATGGCTTCATCAAATGAACAACACTTGCAACTGAGTTACACATACAATTCCACATACTGTATGGTTTGGTGATTCCATCAACTTTTCCTCTGAATATTTTTGGCAGCAATTTTTCTCTACCGGTAAGTGGCAGAGAATTCCTTTTATTTCCTTTTATTAGTAAACAAACTACAAATTCAAACTATTAACATACAGTTGTAACAAAATGTCCTTCCATGAAAGTAACTAGCCTGTTTAGTAGAGACAGAAAAGCATAAAACAGTGGTCTTCCCAATAAACATACAATTACTGAATCAGAAAGTCACTTCTGATGGTGATTCATAATGAAAATAAAACACTTCAGCAAGTAAGAGATCTTTTGAATGGGAAAGATTAGGCAGGCTATTATTACATTATCCTTCAATGGCCTGATTCCTAATATGCTATAGGTGCTTTGAATTGAACCATTTAACTCTGAAATTCACAGGATAATATAGTGTGGATATTTTGGGAATGATGCGTCGTTCCTTCAAGATAACTTCAAGACAAGTTCAAGATAACACTTAAATTAAGACACAATGGAATTCAAACAGCTGCTGTATTTCTTTTGGACAAATACTTCTTAAAAAGAGAAAGCATCCAAAATAAAATTCTGTATCCAAAGAGGCATTACTAAATCTGTCTATAACAAATACAGGTAACACTTTACACTCAGGGACTGTTCATAAGGCTACACGACACCTACATAAGCTTGTCATGACAACTGACATAACCCTACATAAATGTTTATAAATGCTAATTCCACCAGGCATCATTCGCTATAAAGGTTACATTTGCCAATTTTGATAAAAGTTAGCTAAAGCAGCCTTTATGACAGATGATGCCTATTAGAATAAGCATTTATAAACACTTATGTAGGGTTATGTCAGTTGTCTTGACAAGCTTATGTAGGTGTCATACGTAGCCTTATGAACAGAATCCTACAGTGAAGTGTTACCCAAATAAACTTCTGATCAAGTGCAGACATTTACTGTAAGGACACAGAACAATGAATACACTTCTAAAGCACTCGCAGCAGTTAGGTGAAATGATCCAGAGTAGACTGATTTGATGGCTCACACTTGAAAAGAATTCTTAGCAATGTGAACACTGGCAGTTATATGCAGTTGTATGCAAAACATTGCACACCCCTGATCAAATTATGTTTAGTTACATTCTGTTGATTCTGAAATTAAGTTAACATCAGCATCAGGGAACAAACTTAAAGATGGCATTTTGCTGCAAATTTCAATGGACAACAATTTTATGCTAACTTTAACATATTGTGAAAAAATACAACAAAATATTAAACATGCCATAACTTTTGCACAGGCCCCATTTTATGCTTTACTATTTTACACTATGTTAAATTCAGCAAATAAACAAAAATTGTGCATTAAAATGTGCAGAAGTGTGTTCTCTATAGAAAAAATCCATTTGACCAGGACGCACAAACTTTTGCATTCAACTGCATTCAACTGTATTCATATATTGATATTTATCCAGGAGCACAAGTCATGAATTACTCTCTATAGGGTCTGTAGTTGAAACAAACTTGTGTATACAAACTTGTACACAGCATAATCAGATTTGGCACATTTGTAACCAATGCTAAAACTAGGGATGCACAATTGGAATCAGCAGATTTTTGCTCTAAACACTTGATGCATTTTAATGCTGCTGCTACACTCATGACAAAATATTGAAGCGTAATTATAAATAACTCATTGTGCTTGATTTATTTTATTTGAACAGGCAACATTTAACATAAGCAAATTTTAAATGCCACTGTGGTCCATTAAAGAACAATTAATGTTATTTATGTTGTGACTTTGGCTAATAGGAAGTGCTAAAAATGTACTATTGGATGGTGGATGGATGTGTTCATTTAATCCATACAGTATGAGCTTTAAATTAAAAAAAGGCTAAAAGGTAATTGACCAATTTGATGTAAAGAAATCACAATCAGCTATAACAATTTATATTCTGTGCATCCCTAGTAAAACATTCTCAACTCAATCTCAGATATTCCTGCTTCTTTTCATGACCAACGACAGACACGACTGCAGAATCCACCTTAAAAACAGTTGGAATGTGACTGGCTGAAGCTGAGTCACTGGATAACTGCCACATATTTGGCATCTTTTAGTTCAACAACATCCTACACAAACAGACTCTAATCCATGTAACTTCATCCAAGTGGTTTCTTTAGACACAGAAAAGACTACTTTGACCTTCATATCTCAAGTGATGTTTTTGGCATAACAAATTAGAGTTTAGAGCAGGACACGTTGTTGTAAATATCCGATTGACAGCATAAACTTTCCCCTCCCAGAAAAGCCACCGACCGTAACGGCGCCCTCACAAAATAATTCACAGCAAAAATAAGGAAGGTCTAAGAACAGCCACATGTATTTAGTAGTGCTTCCAGCAACTTCATTATGTAGAACTCTGTTCAACAGATACAATCAGATAAAATGCTTAATGAAACAGTAACTTCAAAGACGACAACATAACGAAAAAAACATCAACAATAAATAAATAAGGGGGAAAACACAAATAAGGGGAACAAAAAGAGAAGAAGAGCAATAGAGATGGACTGAAAGATGAGTGAGATTTTTATTGGCTCTGTGGTCGGGTGCGAATTCTTTGGGGATTTTTCCCCCACACACACACACACACCCCCACTGCGGCTCCACACCCCTCTACCTCCTCTGCGTTTGGGTCCCTTTAGCTCCTATGTGGGTCTCTTGAGTCTCTGTGTGTATGTGAGTGCATATCCTCTCTCAGCCATTGTATTGCTGCTGATAGCGGCGGTTGAGCTCCCTCAGCTCCTTCTCTCGGACGCGCCGTGCTCTGCTGGACTTTGTTGAGCGGGTGGAGCGGGTAGACTGGGTTGACTTGGTGCTGTGGCAGCGCGAGGATGCCCTCTTCAGGAGGTTCTGAGAAATGCAGCGCTGCAGGTTCTTCATGGTGGATGAGGCAGCCATGCTGACGATCCACGGGTGTTTGAGTGCCTGGCCGGCTGTCAGACGCTCGCTGGGGTCCACAGTCAGCACACGGTCAATGAAGTCCTTTGCCAGGTTGGACACACTGGGCCACGGCTGATGGAAAGTAAAAGAGCAACATTAAAACCATATTTAGACTTTTCCAAAGAGCTTTTGACAAATTCACTACAGTATTAGATAAAGTAATTGCCTAGAATGATAGAATTGCCTATAAATTTTATTCTGGCAAAAAAGGGATACATTATTGAATCTTGTTATAACAGATTCATCACTGTTTCTGAAAATTTGGGGCTCTAAGCAACAATCCTCCTGAAGTCATCAATGTTGTTTTCAGAAGATATTTTCTTTCAATATCACAATTCACATAAATGATGGGGGGCATGCTGGGAGCTCATTAGTGGCGCAACTGAAAAGACAGTGGTGTCAAACACGTTTTAGGGAAGGGGTCACATCACACTCAGTCCAATGTCAAGTCAGCAGCTTTGTAGGCAAATAACGGATCAAGAACTCCTCATAAATGTGTCCATTCATTGTCATTTGTCTGAAAGATACCTTCTAAATGTACAAACCGAGTGAACATATTTCACGTACACAGGCTGTAACCCATTCTCGTTTGCCCTTCCAAATCATTCTACTTTTCAGTATAAAGAGTCCAATAACACTGTTCAATACTGTGTTCCTTCAGTGCTGCTGTTGGCTTTAAACAAATAAAACACACTGGCCTTTTCTTCTTTTGGAAAAAGGCATGCTTGCAGCATCAAATTCTTAGCTAGCTAATAAAGAATTACACATCATTAGTGTGTTCCGTCAGTAGCCTATAATCTGGCCCAGAGTTCACAACTTAATTTTGTCCTCTAGTCCAACAGCATATGCTAGCATTTTTCCTATTTGCAATGCAGGATCTTTCATTTTAATTAATATAAGATAATTTTAATTTAGTACGTGAATTCTAAGTTCATTTGGTGGGCTGGACCTGGCCATATATTTGACACCTCTGGTTTAAGCCTTGCCCAAGTTCGAGATCTCTGGGTGGATAGGATGGCCCTCTCCCTCCCCCATTACTCAGCAAAATCAGCCTCTGAAGTTGTGTTGTTTAATCTAGTTTTCTCTCAGAGAAATTTAAACATCACCCAAAATGTTCTTATGTCTCTTATGTTTTGCCACATGGACTGTGTGCACTGCACTGACATCACAAGACTGGCAACCTCACCAAAATACCACACAAGAACAGTAGGCTTGGTCAAATGGGGTAGTTAGGTTGTTTTGGAAGTAGCTGTTTGAGTAGTCGATGTTGGTATTTAACAGCGTTGTAGTTTAATAATACACTTACTTTCATGTAACGTCATGTCTGAGAGCTTTGCTGTAGCATGTGTTATGTTATTCGTATTTCTACTGCTAAATACCCTCATAATTCAGGATCAACTGACAGACGGGGGAACAATGTACACAAGACAAAATATCTCAGGTGTGGAACATTTTCACTTACCACAGTGTGCAAAGGTATAAATTGTCGAAAATGCTATTCATTTTTCCCATAGAGAAAACCAGGTTATAGCCTGAAATTCCTAATATAGGCATTATGCCAACTACAGCATGGGGCACAGTCAATGCTAGCCAACGTAGGGTGTCTGTTAGCTGTCACAAAAGAACTAGTAACAGAATGCCCCAAGCATGCTGAGTTGCCCAACGATGCTGCATTAGTGGTATTTCAAAAAGATAAAGTGGCTAGGTCCACATGTCTTTAAGGAAGCATGTGCTAGCCTTCACTTTCCCAGCTTGGTAGCATTGTGTGATACAGGGAAACCTAGCTAACTGGTGGAAACTGGCAACAACTTAATTAAAGGGGAAATCTGAATAAAGTAAGTAAATAAATGAAGGAATAAATAAATAACTTGGCCCATATGACTTGGGGGCCCTCAGTGAGTGCTTATACCACTTATAGCGAGAAAACCCTGAACAGGTTTCACATGCTTTAAACATAACAAAAAGGATGCAATGACACATTTTAGAACAATGCATCAAGATGCTCAACACAGTTTGGCAACAATATTATTAACAACTGAAAAAGTTTTACTCAGTGGCTTTGCAAAGATCTATAACTACTGATGCAAGACCATATCTGCACCACATATCTAAAAACTAAAAATTCTAAAAATTATTTTCACAATGACGATGCTGAACACATTTTAAATGATAGATATCATATTCACTGTTAGAAGTTCAATGTACAGCAAGTACAGCAAGGACATTTTCATAATTGGGATCAGCCTGAAGTGTACATATTTGTACATCCCTATGAGTAATAAATCCAGAAAATAAGTTTTTACTGCTATTGAAGTTATGATCTCAATAATGCACCAACAGCCAACACAACATTTCTTGTTGAGACAACTTGTCTGGAGATTTTTTTGTAGCACATAACATATGAATCAGACTGCCTCATTCCCTTAGGTCCCTTAAATCTGCTGGGGTCTTACATTAGAACTGGAACACCAGACAGTGTATTCATTGTAGACTCAGTTATACCTCATGTCCACAGTGTTACTGGAAGGTTAGTTTGTGTAGTGAAGCAAGACATGACAAAACTATTAAGTTTTGTGAACTTTTAGCCTGACCAATATGGCAAATAAAACTAGTGGTTAATTTTTAACTTTGCTGTTCACTTCATGCGGCTTTATATGACAGAGAGAACACGAAACACAGATGAGCTTTGGTTTGTCTGTGTGGCTTGTGTGACTCTTCCCCATAAACCCAACATTAGCTGTTGTGTGGGGTTCCGAGCAGAAGACTGACGCACACACTCTGCCAGACACACTGCAGCCTTGCATCACACACTCCAGCAGGGGGTTAGTGTGGGATAAGACACGATGACAGGAGAGCGCTGGACATCGTCCAATCAATACACACACACATACATACACGCACACGCACACAAAGACACAAACAAACACATAATCCCACAACACAAGGAAAGTCATTCACCAACATAAACACAAATTCACAATTGGACACTCAAGCACTTCCTTCAGCAAGAAAGCAAGGGTTCGTTTACCGTAATGGAAAACCATTCACAGCCTTGTGAGAAAAAGTAAAAGAAGGGTTTCGAACAGACATCCAGACAGAGAAACGGGACAGAGGCTGAACTATCACGGGATATTGTTTTCTGTTTTCGTGACAGTGGCCTTCTGGGGAATATTTCCACTTAGGAATGCAGTTTTTGAATGGACTGGGTAAATGCCTACATCCCTTCATGTAGCTTTATAACAACAGGCTGTCAACCTCTCTGTGCTGTACCACAAGTCTTACAAACCACCAGTGGGCCCCAAATACACCATACCATAGGGCTGTACAAATCACAGCAAGCAACAATGGCTGTGATTATTCTGAGCAATATCATGATCTCTATTATTTAGCGCAATACAATTGACATGTGCATTCCTCTGGCGCATTATGCATTCACTGAGTAATTCCTAAAAAAATTCAAGGAACTTTACTTACCCAAGATGTAGTCGATCAGTCAAGACATGTTTAGTGTCCAAATTATGCTTTTTTCACTTTTAATTTGGAGCTATACGGCTAACATTGCTAACAATAACTAGAAGTCAATAGTTACACCAGTTCATCACGGTTGTGCAGACTTGTCGATGTGGTTCAGGGAACAGTCTGACGTACTCTAAACTCTAAAAACAAAACTGTACCGTTTAGCTGGATGCAACAGGCTGCCATTTTAAACAACAGGTGTTGGGCTGAATTCCAGCTCCCCTTCACATGCACACACGTTATGCAAATGGATGCTACAGATTATGTTTTATTAGTAACTTCAACGCTACACAGTGAAGATTTGATTATATAGCGCAAGTAAGTCTATGAAGATATGGATGCTTTTTGGGTAGTTTTGGTGATGTATTTATGAAAAAGGTTTGGGTCCATTTGGACTACTGGCTTCTAGTATTTTTTATTAACATTAGCCTTGTAGCTTCAGTGATAAAATTTGGACACCAAACATGTCTTGGCTGATTGTCTACCTGTAGGCTAAGTGGAAAATTGTAACCAGGCTGCATTTTTAATCACCCTTAAATGCAATCAAACAGGCTACACGTGAGTGAATAATTGAACAGTTATGTATTAGCTCTATAACATCTCTAACAATACAGATGAAAACAATATTTGAAACATAGATAATCATTTAAAGATACTGAATAAGAGAAAATATTTACTTTTATTACACTCTACAGCTCTGACTTCAACAGTTTTGGCTGCTCAAAGCACATAGTGCTCAACCTAAAGACTGCTGAGTTCAAGTGCGTAGGATGTGTTGTTACATGGGACACATTACATAAGAGGCCAGTTTCCCAGACCCAGATTAAGCCTATACTGAAAAGAATTTCCAATGGTGATTTGGCGATTCACCACAGACACATCAATTTAGCCTAAGACAAGGCTTAAGCTATGTCCGGGAAACCGGCCCAAGAAGTATAAATACTAAGATTTGCAATTATCAGATTCATTTAAAGAAGACATTCAACTACAGGCCTTTAGTCACTTTGTTAGTTCATTGAATAAATCAGTGCTAACTAATAAATCAGCTATGTTCACTTAAATTCATCTGCTACTTCTAGTCACAAGGCACAAGAATAACACAAGGTCTTTAAGAAATGTCATATACACAAATTCTTACACTTATTGCAGTCTTTCAGGAGCCCTGATAGAGAAATGATTCCTGCAGTGCATGTGATGTGCGCATGTAAATGTACTACATATACATGATATACATTACATAGGCCCTGTTCACGGTATTAACATCTGTCTTGAGTGATATGATCACAAGACTGGCGTTTCCATGTATCTCAAATGCATCTCCAGTGACCATGTGTGATCTGATTTTGAGACTAGAGGAAAGGGACCATGCACATTTGCTACATCAGTCTCTCGCTACATTTGCTGTCAGACCAAAATGGCCCACGAGTCCCTGTTCATGTACACGTAAGGACTGTTACAAACACACACCACATGGACTGCTAAGACAACTTATAAACAAGCAGGAGAGGAGACACATCTGCTTTCATCTCTGCCGTGATGATGATTAAGCAGTCCTTCCACACTGCCAAGAACACTTCAAGATGCTTGAGTGTTCACACTACAAATGTTATATGGTCATATGCGTCCCTGATACCCCGTTCACACTTGTACTTAGCACTGTCCACTTATGATGGGATCACCCAGGATGTAAAAGCCAGGTGTAAAGAGGGTCATGTTAATGCCAGGTGTAAACAGGGTCATATAATGCTATTTCATGTGTCTTGACCATCAGGATTATATCTGATTAGAGAATATGCACATAAAAATCAAGACACATTTAAAACAGATTTAATTCTGATCTCTCAAAACACTTCAGGAAGTGTTCTGAGACATACCTCCCTCTCCTATCGAAGTAAAAATGGCCACTGGATTTCCACCACTAAAAGTCATTGCTGCTTCTTCCCAAACTGGTTAAAATTAAGAACCGTTTTGATATATCTTTATTTCACCACGTTGTTATTCACCATCTCAATACAGTTTTAAGTTTTTAGAGTGTAATACAAGTTTTAAGACATGTGCTCTATGACTGTAATGACTTCTACATATTGTAAATATTGGTATAAAGCCAGTGTAAGAAAATGAATAATGGCATGAAAAATTGTGATTTTCAAAGTGGCAACCTTTTTTTTTTATAGATATAGGAAAAATGATGTACAACACAAGCTGTTGTTGTATATGGCTGATTTTAATGTTATGCGCCACATAGCAATCGCATTTCTATCTGAATGACTGGAGTTACATTTGTTTATCAAGTGTAAATACATGTGGTTAAATGTGGATACAGGTCATATGAAAAGAACGTGTAAATGGGGCTTGTTAGTTGTAAAAGGTGGAGGGTTGCACATCTCATCTTAAATGGAAAGATTTGTAAGTGGGTTTCTGGGCTTTAAGGTTGTGTCATAGCTACTGGTACAACTACTGTCTCTAAAGAAGCAAGCATGTGGTTAGAAAGTAAAATATCAAAAAGATTTGGACTTGGCTGACTTTCAGCAACTTAATGGGGGACCACAGATGGCACAGCAAAGCATTTTCTACCATTTTCATGGAATCCCTTATCCCTTATGCTCGGAAACAGCATAAGGTTGTTATTCATTTTACTGCCAAAAAATGTGGCATATGCTAAATGTTGGCAGAACAGTCTTAATTGAACCGTTTGGACAGTTTTTTTGAAATGAAACAGGTTTTAATATATAGGGGTTGCAGAACAAGCAATTTTCGGATACAGTGGTAGCTGGAAAATGGACATTTGAGACCGCTGCTAAACGATAACAGTAAGCTCACAGGTGCTGATGTTGCATTTGGCCAAGGGCTCAAAAGTTCATGCAAACTGTATTACTTAGCACAGAGCTTCTGCCATTTAGTAAGCAACCTGTCATGCACAACAGTCTTAGAGTAAATGTATAGATGAAGAACTGTTTGTGACATATATAATGCTGTTTAATGCAAATTCATTGGATCTAATGTCCCACCCTTCTGTTACAACCCCAAAGTTGGCATCATCCACCCTTTTTGGGAGCAGGAGCAATGTTAAAATACAAATCAAACATCCCAGAGACAATTTCCTACCTCAGAAATCACTGAACGCTTTATTCTTGCACCCATTTTACAAAATATTGTTCTTTTTCCCCATTTTGCTAATAGAGCGGCTCAGCTGTTCATTAGGGAGGAATATATGCATACACAACAATGGTAAACAAGGGCTGGGACTTTGGTGCAGGCACTGCAGCTAATCGTGAATTGTCATTCTACTGTCCCACCATACCGGTCACAAATTCCACATTGATTCCTTTTACTGATTTCAGAGTCATGACAGATGTTCAAGAAAATCCCTCTGAAAATTACACTCGTCAAAAACACAGTGGTGGCGTATCACACATTCTGCCCCTGCAATGACGGCACACTCAGATGAGGAGAACTCGAGCCCTAGTTCCATACCGAGTAACTGGATCAGGTCATAAACAGGCCAGTCACGGTCATGAAATCTTTTTAGCTGATTAAATGTCTTTTACAAAATTATGGCAATCAGCTGTGTTGTTCATTGTATGCAACTATTAAAGTACAAGCCACAAGTGTTCAAATCCTGCCTTTTAGCTGTTGATACTTATTAGCCTGCAACTGATGACAGACACAGCTTGCGCTCAAATAAACAAACATTAATACCATTATTACCAATTGGCACCATTTTTTATGACGTCTCAATAAATGTGTTTGCTGCTTTCTTTAATTTACTTGCATTTGCCTCAACCCACAAAATGAAAACACACCCATTCCACAATCTGTTTGTTCTGACATAAACATATGAAAATAATTGTGATCTGGAAAATCGTAAACAACTAGTGCTTACAAACGTTGGAATAGCTGCCAATTTGGCCACCATCTTGATTCTTGTTATTGGTTATTGATCTAAAAAGTGGAGTTGTGGTTCAGTAAAACTGCTTACTGCTTTTATCAATTACCTACTTTAAAGCAGATAAGCTACTGTTGAGAATGAGATTTCTTGACAAGAAATCATGATTATGTATGCCAGAATCAGTAGCGACCACTCTTTTCTCTTCCCATACTGATACTGATATTGACACCTTGAGTATCGGTCAATACCAATTTGACATTTCTTATTTAAAAGCTACTAAGGCTTAAAATGAAATATTATTTATTGAAGCACTTCACTTAAGATGAGCAGTGTGCGTGTGTGCTATTTCAAGCTAGATTTGATTAAATCAGATTCTTTTTTCCCCTGATATCCAAACCATATCACCCCAACAATGATTCTTGTTATCAGATCAGTGTGATCAACACACAAGATATTTACATGTGAACACATGAAGCATAGCTACATCACCAGCTCTTTACTGCCTAGACTTAGATCATGTCATAATCACGACTTTAAACCCTAATGACCTGTATGTGGGGCACACATCAGTTCCTCCCTCTCATAACTATATATGCTACATATTATTTTCAGCAACTACTTGTAAATTCTTGTGTGACATATATAGATATGTTACCTATTAGTTTCATAGTAGTTGCTGAATAACTTACTATGGAACAAAAAGTATTAAGATTAACTGAATGACTGAATAATAAACATGTAACTTAAGAAGTTTAACATATTTGATCTTCAAAGATCACAACTTGTCAAATTAAAATATGTCCATCTCCATAAGCAGCTTGGAACCACTGTACTGAGTGACAGCAGTGAAAGTGATGCTGGATTCTTACCTCTCCAGAGAAGCTGTACTTCCCTTTGAGTATTTGCCTGTAAAGTCGCATGCGGTTGTCATCTTCAAAGGGCATTGTGCCACTGAGCAGAATGTAGGAAATGACCCCCAGGGCCCACATGTCCACAGCATTTGTGTAAGGCTTGCGCACCAGGATCTCCGGCGCGATGTACTCAGGCGTGCCGCAGGTGGTCTTCATCAGGCACTCATCACCCTTCTTGCGCGTGCTGGCCAGGCCAAAGTCAGTGATCATGATCTTGGAGTCAGCACCAGGGTGGTAGTAGAGTAGGTTCTCTGGCTTCAGGTCACGATGTGTGATGCCCAGAGTGTGCAGGTACTTCACACCTTCCAGAACCATCTGCAGCACACGGGTGGCATCCCGTTCTGTGAAGGAGCCACGGGCGATGATGCGGTCAAACAGCTCACCGCCAGTGGCCAGCTCCATCACCATATAGACACGCTCAGCTGTCTCAAACACCTCCATGAGCTGGATGATGTTGGTGTGGCGCACACGGCGCAGCACGCACAGTTCTGATTCGCATACCTCGCGGCCCTCACGGTACCGTGTCTCGATCATCTTGATGGCGTATGGCTGTCGCGTGTTCTTATGCTCCACTCGCACCACCCGGCTGAAGCTGCCGCGGCCAATTAGGGCCTTAATCTCATACTTGGCAGTCACCCGAGGGTCAAACTTGGCCCTGTATTTGGCCACCTTGCTGCGCCGGGGGTCAGCGGGCTCAGCTTGGCCATTGGATGGGGACTGGGGGGCAGCAGCCACTGCAGCAGCTTGGCCCTGGCCCTGAGGCGAAGGCGAGCCCATTTTGTCTGCGCCAACGTCCCCCACGTTGAAGTTCTTATAGACATCAGTCTGGTGAGGCTCTACCTTTTTGACTAGGTCTAGCTGGACATCTGCCGGTGGTTCTGGGAGGACTTTGCTCGTCCTGCACCCCATCACGTCAGAATCCTTCCTCCTTGATGCCAGCAGCACATCCTCATCGCCCAGGCGAGCAGCCAATCAGCACACGGCACTGGGCCGCAGCAGTCAAAAGCACAGGCAGAAGCCTCCAGGGCCACGCTTAACACTGAGGGTCAGAAAGTAACACCAGAAAACTCCTCAGGTAGTACGCAACTGTCAGTCTGAAAGAGTGAAAACACGCAGAATTAATGTTAGAAATACTGCTGTAAACACCTCGGAAAATGAAGCCATAATATGAATATACATTTCTGCCTTTATATACTTCACCTTTCTGTTCTAATGCTTAGTACATTATTTCATTTCATAACCAACACTGTATGCTAACTGTATAGTAAGCTAGTCTATTATAGTGATATTATCTTGTAATGAGCATGAAGTCCTCAAGGTTATGTTAAATAGTAGAATAACTACCGGACACTTAAAAATGTAACATTTATGTAGAGTACCTTTTTTAAATTTGATGTGCATGTGAACAAGGAGAACACCACACAACATGTAGGCCATGTGACAGTTGTTAAATTAACTGTAATAATGTAGAATTATCCTGAACTGCACTAAATAAGAGGCCAAGAGATTACAATGTACATAAAATGCCTCGACATTAAGTTCTCCAGTTTTACTCTGAACACGTCTTTGCTTTATGGTGTAAAAAAATAAATTTGTCTAAAAGTTATTTATACAAATGAACCGACTCTGTATTAGACAGACAGACGTGTGTCAAGTATAAAGCAACCGAGCTGAGCTAAAAACCAACAGCGCTGTTTTAAGTCACTGGAAGCTCAGAACCCTTCTAAGGCTGTTTTCTCTCCGTTTCTGGGTTGGTACCGGTGTAGTTATTAAAAACACTGAGCAGTTTAGTCTGTACTCACACTTTAAACAAAGAGCTGTAACACGAACTGTTAGAAAAATGTAGCTACAACTTTCAGTTGTTTTCACGAGGCCTGGAGGAGAGAAAGCGCTGAATCCATCCCGCTCTCACTGCTAGCAGAGCCTCGACACCCACAGAAAGCGTCGCAAACGACGTTCAAACACTTTAAACATCGAAATAGTGGTTTTTAACATCACCTTATAGAGGATTTTGTTACACACGGAGGGAGTAACAGGGCAGGATCCTCCAGCTTGCCAACGCCAACCTCCTCACCCCACTCTCAGCTGTTCTCTCCATTTTTTTGGTGCAGCTTTTCTCAAACTTTAATCCAGTCAAAACGAGCCGCCCGTTCTCCTCTTTCTCCGTTTGATAAAACCGACATGCTGATATAAGACGCCGACACTCACATTTCACAAGTTTTATCGAGTGAGAAGGATGTAAAGAGAAAGGTTAGAAAAGTTGACCGCTCGCTTCGAAACGGTGTTTTCGGAATGGGACCACCTTTTTCCCTGTGTAGAGGAGGGTTTTTTTTTTGGGAAGACCTCCGCTTGTTTCGACCCCTGCAACAACTCTTGTGAAGCCAGAATTAGCCAACATTAGAAAATGGCCGAGATACAAGCAGAAAAGGGAAACTTTTCTTTGAAACACATGAAACTTTTTTTGCAAAAAGAGCAAACGTCTCTCAAAAACACAGACTGACCTCCTTCTCTCACACTTGTTCAGCTAAATGAAGGAACAACAAAGCGCTTAAATACCAGAAAGCTATCAGACAGCTATAAGATGAAGAGATACTTTGTGTATTTTAATATATTTGAATCATTTGAGCCAAATCAAGATTTATAAGATGAGTATGCTTACTTACTGTTGCCGATACCGTTACTTTTAAACCTTTATATCTCTGTGTAATGATTTATATTAAGATAAGCCTTTATATTATGACAAATCACTATTAATGTGTGGAGGCTGGGGTACTCTAAACTTACAAGTCCTTGAGTTATTTCTAAATTATGCTGTAAATATACATAAACTTTATTTTTCACATTCAAAAGTTGTACTTTTTGTACTTAAAAGTTATTTGTGTACAAAACATTAAGTAGTCTTTTCCCAACTTTTGCAGTTGAATTTAATTTAACTGACTCTTATTTTGTAAAAGTCAAATTCCTAAATAGCTCTCTTTTCCGTGAGTGGTTGCTGGCTTCCACTGTGGGATCCAGAGGAGCTGAAAGCCATGTTCCTGAACAAGTACAAGTAAACTTATTTGATAAGAACTTCACCGATACGGAATTCATAAACAGAAAGATTTCCAAGGTTGGGTCACTTACTCGTCTAAAGTAAACCATAAACTTTTGTTGGCTTATCTCTTTCCTCTATCAACAAGTGATAAATTAGGCTATTATGGTGGATGTCACTGCACATCTGTACTCCCTCTTCTAAACACAAACAGGTGTTGACCCATGACCACGTTTCAGTGAGCGTAACCCAGCAGAAAGTGCCCTTATCTCCAGGACGCAGGTTGCACTATGGTGACAATCTGCCATCAGGGCAGGTATCAATCAGTTATGTTACATATGAGAGTCTGATGATGCTGCAGTTAATAATTAGCATATCTTGCTATGATTGGCTAATTTGCTCACCAAATAGATGAGTAAGTATGGAGTGTCCTGGGTCAAATATATGCAACATATAGCATCAACACAGTGTTTTTCAGTTGACTCTTGGCAGTAGTTGCATTGATGTAATATTTTATTTATGTGAAAATAATGGATTGGATGGATTTTTCTCAGCAATGTGCAACCCAGATAAAATCTCCAGGTCTCACTTGGCCACCTCATTCTAAAAGCTGCACTCCTGCTATATTTGTGTGCTTATCCAGTTGTAGCTACACTCTTAATCTCTTAAACCTCAAGTCTGCTGTTTAGTTATTAATCCTAAAGGGGTATTCTGCTCAAAAACTAACATTTAATATTATTTGTGGTGTTATATAACCGTAGCGCAGAATTGCACCTCTCAGCCTTATCAGTTTCAAAGAATTCATGATTTTGTACTATATTTATTTTTATTTTTTTTGTTTTCATCTGTCAGTGTTATTTCACTGAGATCAAACAGTTCACCCCTAGATATCCACTCTGAAACACTTGTAACCTTTCAAAATTTATTCCTGTCTTCAAGCTCTCATCAGAAAGGGGCTTTTCTAGTCTTTTAACCAGGAAATCTTGCTTTGGAAGCTACTGCAGCACTGCTGTAAGAGGTTTCCAACAGATGCAGCAATGGTTACATGTTTCATTTTGTCCAGAGTGTCTTTTTAAGTAATATGTAAGTTATGTAGTTATGAGAGTTAGGAATTGAGGTGTGGGACCACAAGCAGTACATAGGCTTTAAAGGGTTGAATAAAAGGGACATTGAATCACTATGAGTAAAAAAAAAACTCCTTAGTAGTCTAAGGTTTTGTCTTTTTTCACAGATGTTGTGCAGTTCTCTGCAACTGCACTAGGAACAAAATGATTTTGTTGTAGTCTATGGAGGGAGTGTGTTGCTCTAGGCAATGTTCTGCTGGAAAATCCTGGGTCTGGCATTCATGTGGACGTCAATTTGACATATGCAACCTATGCAAACATCACTGTCAACCAGATACACCATTTCATAGCAGTGGGATTCCCCAGTGGCAGTGGCCTCTTTCAGCAGGACAATACACCTAGCAACTCAACTCACATTGTTCAGGAATGGTTTGAGGAAAATGATGAAGAGTTCAAGGTGTTGCCCTGGCCTTCAAGTTCCCCAGATCTCAATCCGATCAAGCTGGATTTGTGCTGGAACAATAAGTCTGATCCGCAGTGGCTCCACCTCACAATTTACAGGACTTCAGGATCTGCTGCTAATGTTGGTGCCAGATTACACAAGGCACCTTCAGAGGTCTTCGGCCTAAGATATTAGGCAGGAGGTCATAATGTTTTAGCTCATTGTATATCCACTTATTCAGCCTACAGCAGTTTAGCTCCACCCATTCATGTTGACTGTATAAGGAGTGCTGCAGGATGCGCAGTACAGGGCATCCAGTCAGAACAGAGCTCATTTACATAAATCAGACTTAAAGAGACAGTAAAAAAGCATGTTGAGTTCTAAGGAAAAATGGAGGCTGGACAATGGTCATGTCGAAATATTGTTTGTCATTAGTGGGCCTCAGGAAAAAATATTGAAGGAAAATGCAGGATGTGAGCCCTATAAGAAACTGACTCACATTTAAAGCTATCAGTTCAACTGAATGGATGTAACCACTAGATGGTGCTGTTCCTCAGCATAAAAATCAACCTAGAAACTGTAATCTTCCTCTAGGCTGCTGTCTTAGCATCACCAACTGATATAAAGTCATGTATATTGCATGCTTTTTTTCTGTATAAACATGAAAAACACGGCACATTGTGCAGTTTCCCAAACATAAAAGCAGCACACAAACCAACCACTGATCCTACTGTGCAGTCTTTCACTGCATATTTACTGCACTGGATGTTTATATATACTCTTAACTATACTCTAAGCACACACACACATCATTCAAACCGCTTATCCTTCTGGGTCGCAGTGGGGTGCTGGAGCGTATCCCAGCTGTCATCGGGCGGAAGGCAGGATACACCCTGGACAGGTTGCCAGTCTATCGCAGGGCAGGCACACACACACTCACACCTAGGGGCAATTTAGCATGTCCAATTGGACTGACTGCATGTCTTTGGACTGTGGGAGGAAACCGGAGTACCCAGAAGAAACCCATGCAGACACAGGGAGAACGTGCACACTCCACACAGAAAGGACCCCTGTCACCTGGCCGGGAATCGAACCCAGGCCATTCTTGCTGTGAGGCGACAGTGCTACCCACTGCGCCACCGTGCCACCCTTATACTCTAAGCAACTGAATGAATTTTAATATGCACATTTATATTCTCACATTGTTGAAGGCTCATGGTACACCCCTTGATGTTGTCCCAGGTGGGCCTCCAGTGCTCTCTGCAGGTGTTATTGTCCCCTCCCCCTATATGGAACAATGGCTGAGTGAAATTCAAAATGCATGCTTATATTCTCACAGACATCACTTTTCAAGCCTTGTGGTTTAGCCCTTGATGTTGTCCCATGTGGTGCTCCAATATCCACTATGGGTGTCATATTCAACACTGTAAATTCTTTTTCATTCTTCTGTATTCAACAATGACTTTAGAGCGAGATGCGCTCCGAACGGAGCGCTGAATGGCTGTGGCATCGCTGCTGGAAAAAAAAGCAATCACTTCAACTCCAAATAGGGCAATAGGATGATGTAGCACTGCTCTGAATGCAAATGGAAATGCCATATGAAATGGTAAGCTATAGAACTGGTGACAGTCATCTGTAGCCTGTAAAGGGCACGGACTCTGTGACAGACCTACACTGAATTAGATAAGATAAAGTGTTTTGGTGAAAAAGGACAAGCAGCATAAAGGGAAGGAGAGTTAGAGAGAGGGTGAGAGGAAGAAAGGATACTGTATGGCTGTTGTGTCTTTATGAACAACATATAGAACTGTGCAAATGTCAAAGACCACCTTTTCACTCAAAACCTCCATTAAATTATTCATTTTTCATCATTAGGAAAAAAGAAAACATATTTAGCAGAAAATTACACAGAAGCCTTGATTTCTATCAGGAAACTTGCTTTCAGTTTTCCATATGCAGGGATATTTTTCCATGCTTCTTGTAAAGAGCAGAGTTCAGTCTTAGAAGTTGGTTGTATTATCTGCTTCTCACAATCCAAGTAATACCAACCACATTCAGTGGTGATGAGGTCCTGTTTCAGTGGTCTAGTACAAAAAACCTTCTTTTCTGTCTATTTGCTTTTCTCAGTAACAGCTTCTTGACAGTTCCACATCCTTTCAGACTCATAGTGTTAAGTGGAGTCACAGTAAAAAGATAAACAGGTACCTGTGGATTTTTTCAGATCTGAAACAAGAGTGGAGCTTGAGCTTCTCCTCTCTCTCAAAGATGAAAGCTTTAAGTTCTGTTTTTCTGACTGTGACAGTTTTGGTGGTCTAACAGTTGTTAGGAATTCCGTTTTCTCTGTATTGTTAATAATATTTCCAAAGCTCCAGTTTTGGATTGTTCTGTTTTTCACTTGTTGTAATTTGACTTTCACCTTCCTTGTACAAGTGGAATATTTTATTTATGATTTCCCTTTAGAAATACCTCCTTTAGCTATTTTGGATGCACACGAGAAAGAAATATGAAGGCAGCTGAGGTGTGTTTGGGTAGTTGTTTGTGTGAATGTGTCTTTGAAGGGGAACATAATGTCAGTGACAGCTTTGGAAACAGCTTTTGTTGGGAGGACACAGCTGTGACTCGTTTTTAGGATTGGAAAGATGGAAGGGTTAAAGTGTCAGTAGGTGCATGAAAGTAGAGAGTGGACAAATAAAATAATACATTTTATATTTGATACATAGTTTTGGAGGCTTTTGTGTAATTTTCTGTTACAGTTTCTGCCTTGTTGTACAATACTGTAATTTCAGGTTTATTTTTTATTCTGATTTCAAGATTTGATGATT